CACGTATGGGTGTTTATTGCCATTCTTTTTTTTTCTTTTTTCTTTTTTTTTTTTTTTTTTGGTTTTTTTGAGACAGGGTTTCCCTGTGTAGTTTTGTTTCCTGTCCTGGATCTCGCTCTGTAGACCAGGCTGGCCTCGAACTCACGGAGATCCCCACCTGGCTCTGCCTCCCAAGTGCTGGGATTAAAGGCATGCACTACCACCGCCCGGCCTATTGCCATTCTTTTATTTTACTTGACATCATGGCTACACATTTTCCCATATTTCTAATTATTAGTTGAAAGTACAGTTAGCAAAATATAATATTTCAACTTAATAGCTGTTCCATAAAACCTCCTTAATAATAGGAGATGATCTTAGAAGTTTCTCGTCTAGTTTTGCCATTGTGACATATGACAGCTGTATTTGTCTCGAAATGTTCATCTGTTAGGATGTCTCCCGCGAGTGGAAACTAGTAATTTTGGAAGTGTGGACTCTCTTACAGGTACTGTGTGCTTAGTGTGGAATGCTCACACGGGGCAGAAATGAGTCAGCAAAACGCAGAAGCAGGTTCCATTTCCCTGTCCCCAAGAAGCACATGGGAGGGAGGAGGGTGTCTCTGGGGTGCTGCTATTCAATGCCACGTTGGTGTCCCCATCAGTTGTGGCATGCCCTAGATTGAACACATGTGTTTGTAGGACATCTTTGCAGATGTCCTACCCTTTCTCTTACATTTGATTTGTTCAAAACCATCAATATCCAGTCCCAGGGGATCCAACAGTGTCTTCTGGACTCTGTAGACACCAGACACGTATGTGGTGCACAGACATACATGCAGCCAAAATACCCATACACATAACAATTTTTTTTTTGAGACAAGATTTCTCTGTGTAGCCTTGACTGTCCTGAAACTCGCTCTGTAGACCAGGCTAGCTAGCCTCAAACTCGCAGAGATCTGTCTACCTCTGCCTCCCAAGTACTAGGATTAAAGGAGTGCACCACCACCACCCAGCAATTAACATTATTAAACAATGCAAAAAGCAGCAACAACAGAAATAATTTCAAGCCAGACCTGATGGTTCACAGGTTTAATCACAGCACTATATAAAGAGATCCTGTCTTAGAAAACAAACAGAAAAAGAAATTTGACCAAGGATGCAATTGTGCACGCATGCAAGTGTGATAAGGATGCCTCCTGAAGGGCTGGGCAGGCTGCTTTGTGTGGATGCAGCCTAGGTCTGAAGGCCAAGGCTGGCTTAGACTTGGTGAGGCTGGTTCCCACAGTTGCTTCTGCTCTGCACCCCGTCCGTGTTCTCTGTTAGATAGACCCAGCTCCCCACCTTGACTTCCTTCTAGCTTCTTCTGCTGCTTCCCATTCACAGAGCTGCCTTGAAGCTCTGCCACTGGGGTGGTAACTTTCTTCCTACCGTGTTTGCTCATGGGGTTTTGTCTCTTGTGGTACCAAAGACGGAACTCAGGGCCCCCTACACTAGGTAAGCACTCTCCCACTGAGCCATTTCCCAGCCCTACTGAGAAGGCTCTTAGCCTGCCCTTTGCCCAAAGGTCTTGTGTTGTTCAGCTTTCTATGGCCCCACGTTGGAACACCAAAATGTTGTTGTTTGTTATTGCTCTTTTGAGGGGCCCGCCACCCAGCTCCCAAATAAATCACACACAGAGGCTTATTCTTAATTATAAATGCTCAGCCTTAGTTTGACTTGTTTCTAGCCAGCTTTTCTTAATTTTAAATTAACCTGTCTATCTTTTGCCTCTGGGCTTTTCCTTTTCTATTCCTGTATACCTTTCTTTGTTTCTTACTGGTGGCTGGCTGTGTAGTTGGGTGGCTGGCTGTGTAGTTGGGTGGCTGGCTGTGTAGTTGGGTGGCTGGCTGTGCGGCTGTGCAGCTGGCCCCTGATGTCCTCCTCTCCTTGTTCTCTCCTTCCTTCTCTCTTTCTCCCAGATTTCTCCTTCTATTTCTCCTCTCTGCCTGCCTTCCCTGCCTATCCTTTCTCCTGCCTCACCATTGACCGTTCAGTTGTTTATTAGACCATCGGGTGTTTTAGACAGGCACAGGAACACAGCTTCACAGAGTTAAACAAATGCAACATAAGCAAAAGTAACACCCCTTAAAACAATATTCTCCAGCAGTCTTGTAGTCTTCGTCTCCTGTTTGGTCTGTAGAAACTGTTCCTGCCCAATGGGACTTGGGCTCTCAGCATGTTCCCATCCCTTCATTTCTATTTGGAAAGCAGTGATTCATGCCTGTGCCTGCCTTTGCCTTGAGACACCCTGTGAAGGCATCTAGTCATATCCAGCCTGACTCCCTGTCCCCTTCCCTATGCCAGGAGGCTGTGGACACTTGGTTGAGGACAGGCAGCACTACAGTCAGCCCTTCACTGCCTACTTGCTGGGGTCCAGCAGCCACTAGAGCCCTGTGCTGTAGGGCTTGTTCACAGGCACACTCCACTCTAAGGTCCACACTTGCTGTTAGTCGGGAACTCTAGATAGCTATTAAAGCAGATCAGAGGCTTACAAGCCATTGCCCGGCACGGGGGCAGTGGAGGCAGCAGTGGAGGCAGCAGTGGCAAAGGCAGCCAAGCCAGGGCAGCTGCTGGCAGCTCTCAGAACATTAGGCCAGTGAGAATGTGAGGAAACTGCGGCAGAGGGGCTGGTGCTCTGCAGGACCAGGGCCGGTGAATTTCAGAAGACTGCTCAGACGCTGTGACGTCTGCCCAGAGTCACAGCTCATGTCCTGTTCCTCCTGCTCCTGCTGGAGCCATTGAAGCCTCTCACCTCTGTCAGAGACAGGGATCCATTCCTTCTCTGCGGGAGAGCAGAGACCGCTAGAGCAGGAGTTGGCCTTGCTGCCAGCACAGCTGAGCTCTGGAACTGGGGGAAGCTAGGAAAACTGATCCAGTGCCTTGTTGTGAAATTACACAGAGATAGAAAGTTTGTTAGTTTGTTAGGGGAAATCAATACGAAATACATGCATAAATTAAACTTTATTTCTACTTATAGACTACAAGGCAATTGGCAAGATAGGAGAGGGAACGTTTTCTGAAGTTATGAAGATGCAAAGCCTGAGAGATGGGAACTACTATGCATGTAAACAGATGAAGCAACACTTTGAAAGGTATGTGAGCAGGCACGTTCTGACACAGGTTGGAGTCAGTAAGGCATCTCAATGTTAGTGGGAGCTTGTATTCATTTAAAAGTCTGTAAGCTATAGCCAGATGTCCTTGGACAGGTAAGAGTGTGAGCTAGTGTGTTTAATACACTAGGGTGTTCTCTTGTCCAAGTTTATAGTGATGTCAGTGATTAACACCTACAGCATGCATTGTAAAAGTGTGTTATACTTTGTACAGTATTGTATGGTGGGCTTTTACAAATCAAACCTCAGTGAAATGTCATAGAGTTCCTAGAAACTTATTCACATGAATCAATTAATGTATCAATACAGTAGAAAAATAATATGCAGATAGGAACAGAGAAAATTTTGCTGTTTGTGGGAAGCTGTAGTTTCTTATGAAGCTTCTTTCTTTTATCTGTTTTTACAGTATTTTTATTTTGTGTGTATGAGTGTTTTGCCTGCATGTATATCTGTGTACCATGAGCATGCATGGAGGCCAGATGAGGTCATCAGGCCCCCTTGGATCTAGAGACAATTGTTAGCTGCCGTGTGAGTGCTGGGAATCGAACCTGTCTCCTCTGGAAAGGTAGTCAGTGCTCTTAACCGATAAGCCATCTCTCCAGGTCCTGGGTGATACTTCCTATGCTGTGGCTTCGTCCCACGTAGGAGCCTCTTAAAGTCTTAGTCAGCTTCTCAGGGAGCATCACACCAAGGAGTCAGAAGCTGTTGTATGATGGAATAATTGCTGGCCTCCTTGTAACCAAGAAATGTTGCAATAAGAGATTGAAGCCAAATGGGTTTGTTTTTATATCAAAGAAGTTACTATTTTAAACATCCAAAGAAGTTATGGAGAAAACTTGGTAACTCTCCCATACTGATACAGAACTTTTTTTTTGCTTTTGGTTCTTTATTATTACTATTTTATTTTTTAGATTTATTTTATGTGTATGAATGTTTGCCTGCATGCATATATATGCACCACATGCTTGCCTGGTGCCTGCAGAGGTCAGAAGAGGTTGTCAGATCCCCTAGAACTGCAGTCATGGATATGCAAATATGAACTACCATGTGGGCACTGGGAACTAAACTCCAGTCCTCTGGAAGAGCAGCCAGTGCTCTTAACCACTGAGCCATCTCTCAGCCCCTGTTGTTGTTGTTGCCATTATTATTATTGTTATTTTGTTTATGTGTGGGAGTGTTTTGCCTGCGTGTGTGTCTGCATTTGTGTCTGTCTGGTGCCTGTAGAGGCTGGGAGTGGGGCTATCAGGGTTTCCTGGAACTGGAGGTCAATACTTGCTGGCCTTCTAAATAGCCATTCATCGCCCACCTCTTCATTTGATCAACATCCCTTTTACTATTTGGAAAAGTCCTTTTTGGAATATACTAAAAGACCACTAGTTTCCACCAGCCAAAGACTAAGAATGTCATCACATTGCATCTGAGGCCTATTGCAGAGAGCCTGCTTTGCTGGAGCCTGCCTGCCTGGTGTTCCCACCAGTGTATTTACTTCACATGTATTTATGTAGGCCTGAGTGTATGTATGTGTATCATATGTGTGAGTGCAGGTGCTCTTGGAGGCCAGAAGAGGGTGTCAGATCTTCTGGAGCTTTAGTCACAGGTGGCTGTCAACCAACCACTTGATATGAGTGCTGGGAATTGAACCCAGGTCCTCTGCAAAAACAGCAAGTGCTTTTTAACTGTTTGAGCCATCTCTCCACTAATGTATTTCAAAGTATACTGATGAAAGATTTTCTTTGTTCTATTACTGTGAGAACTTCAGGAAAATGTTACCCACTTTGGAACATGGTGTCTGAGCCAAACTCCTGGGCCATGGTCACTCCTGTGTGACTCCAGAATAAGCCATCTCTTACTCTCTTTGAGGTGAGAGCTGTGCACTTGCATGGACAGCCTTTACATTTTTTGATAAGCAGAAAATGAACAAGAAGATAATAATTCTGTAAAGTCTGTGGTTCATGATGGGGGCAGACACTGAACCTGGGGCCTCATGCATGCTAGACAGGCACTCTACCAACTGAATAGCATCCCCCAACCCCCAGATTCACATCTCAGCAATTTATGAGCATAGTCTCCTCATGATAAATAAATAAATAGCTGGGCGTGATAGCGCACGCTTTTAGTCCCAACACTCAGGAGGCAGAGGATCGCTGATCTACGTGAGTTTGAGGCCAGCCTGGTCTACAAAGCAAGTTCCAGGACAGCCAGAGCTGTTACACAGAGAAATTCTGTCTCAGAAAAACAAAAACAAACAAACAAACAAAAAACCCAGATAGGCATGGTAGTACTCTGGAGGCAGAGGCAGGAAGATGGTAGCACTCTGGAGGCAGAGGCAGGAAGATCTCTGCAAGTTCTAGGCCAGCCTGGTCTACATACTGAATAACAGGCCAGCTAGGGCTGTAGTAAGACTCTGCCTCAAAAAATAATTAATTAATTAAATGAAGAAGAAAAAGAAAGAAAAGAAATAACAGTAGGTGCTGGTGAGGGTGTAGACAAAAGTGAGTGCTTGTACATTGTTGGTGGGAATATAAATTAGTCTGGTCACTATGGAAGTCAGGATAGAGGTTCCTCAAAAATAAATAAAAAATGAGCCAGGCATGGTGGCACAGGCCTTTAATCCCAGCACTTGGAGGCAGAGACAGGCAGATCTCTGTGAGTTTGAGGCCAGTGTGCTCTACAGAGTGAGTTTCAGACCACCCAGGGCTACACAGAGAAACCCTTTCTCAAAAAACAAACCAACAAACAAACCAACCAATAGCAAGGACAACAAAAGCCCCACAACTATAGTAACTACACCTCCCATACCCAGACACACCACTTGTAGGACTCAGAGTGAACAGGCCAGGGAGACACTCTGCAGCACTGTTTCCAGGAGCGGAGTTAGGGAGCCAGGATAGATGTTGGTCAGCAGAAGAGTGGGCAGAGAAGATGGAGAAGATGGAGTTTCTAGACATGAGGTGATTTTTTTAGCCATAAAGAACAACAAAGTTATATCAGTTGCAAGAGGAAAATAGATCCAATTGGAGAAAATCATATCAAGCAAATTAAGTTAGTGTCTCAGGAAGACAAGTATTGCCTGTTTTTCTCATTCGTGGTTCCTAGATTTATATAGATCCCTTCAGTTATATATGTATATATGACCCGGAAATAGAGAAGAACTGTCTGGGGAACTAATGTGGTGGGGTAGAGAGCAGGGTGGGTGTGGAGGTGTGGGGGATTGCAGATGAGTACAGTATTTGTTTGTGGAGATACCCTCCCACAGCACAGTACCACCCACAAACTAACAACAGAAAGAGCCTTGGTGACTCCTTCCCCTGGGAACAAGGGAAGATCAAAGGGTGTGTGTGCATCCATTAGTATGGACTCCAAAGAAAGCTTCCACACAGTTCTTTTGTCCTTCCTTCCACCTGACTCCTTTACTTCCCTTCCCTACCCCAAAATATCCCACGTGTTGTCCCTTGGAGGATGGTCTAGAGGGGTGTTCTTTGGAATCACAGATTTTTTTTTCTTTCTTGTTTTTATCTTTTCAAGACAGCATTTCTCTGTGTGTAGCCTTAGCTGTCCTGGATCTTGCTCTGTAGACCAGGCTGGCCTTGAACTCACAGAGATCCACCTACCTCCGCCTCCAAGTACTGGGACTAAAGGCATGTGCCACCAACTGCCCAGTGGAATCCCAGATTTTTGGTTCTGTTTTGTAGTTATTTTGTTTAGGTTTGGTTTTGAGACAGAATCTTATTGTGTAGCCTTGAATGCACTGTGTAGACCAGGCTGTCCTGGAACTCAGAGAGATTCACCTGCCTCTACCTCCTGAATGCTGGGATTAAAGGAGTGTGCTACCATTCATGGCTGGAACCTCAGTTCTACAGTACAGTATCTAGATTATGTATAAGGATTCTGGGACCAAAAAAGTTCAGAACATGTTAAAGGTAAGCTGTTTCACCGGGGGTGGGGAGTGGTGGGTGGCACAAGCCTTTAATTCCAGCACTTGAGAGGCAGAGGCAGGTGGATCTCTGTGAGTTTGAGACCAGCTTGGTCTACAGAGCAAGTTTCAGAACAGCCTAGGCTACACCGAGAAACCCTATCTTGAAAAAAAAAAAAATCAAAAAACAACAACAAAAAAAGCTATTTCCTTTTCTCCTCTTTTTCCTCTTCTTCCCCTGTCTACCCACTTCTTCTTTCTTCTTCTGCTGACAGGGCCTCATGCACCCCATAAATAGCTGAACTGATTGTACAACCAAGAATCACCTTGAACTCCTGATCCTTCTGCCTCCACACTCCAAGTGCTAGGATTTCAGGCATGCATCATCATACCCCCCTTTTTATTTTGTAAGGTTTTGGGGGGGACTTTTGATACCAACTTTAAATTCTGGCCCTCTAGGAGGGACTAGGGTGGGCCTGTTTCTGAAGCATTTTAGACATAGAATTTCCTTGCAAACATTTTTCAGGGCCAATGAAATGGCTCAGCATGGAAAGGTGCTTGCTGCCAAGCCTGTTAACTTGAGTTCAGTCTAAATCTGGAAATCACATGATGGTAGACTTTTGACATAACATAAGTGCATGTCCATGTGCTCATATACACATATACACATGCACAATAGGTGAATGTAATAATAATAACAAAAATAATAAAAAAATTTTCCTGATAACCATGCTCTATAGAACACATTATAGGAAGCTGTGTTTTAAAAGCACTTAAAGAGGGCTGGAGAGATAGCTCAGCAGTTAAGATCACTGACTGTTCTTCCAGAGGACCCAGGTTCAATTCCCAGCACCCACATAGCAGCTCACAACTGTCTGTAACTCCAAGATGTGACACCCTCTTCCAGACGTGCAGGTAAAACATCAATGCACATAAAATCAATAAATTAAAAAAAAACATTTAGGGAGGCACTTTTGCTGTGGTGGAGGATGTTGGTGGGGCAGGGGATACTCAGCCAGGGAGCCATGAGCCTGTATAAAACTGCACAAATGCTGAGTGGTTCCTTGAATGCCTGAATGCGTCCATCCAGGTTGTGAACAGCTGCTGCTCTGGGCCTCCTTTTGTACTGCCTGGCCCTCTCACTCAGCACATCCAGACCTTCCTGAGGGCTGGTGCCAGTTCAGCCTGGCTCCAGACTGTGACCTCTGCTTTTCCTGGTTGTTGTCTTGGGGCACATGTTGCTAACATTTTGAATACTGTGCTGGGTCAAGGGAGGAAACAGGGAAAGGTAGTCAAAGCTATTCTTCGATTCTCATGGTCTTCCACTGTTGGCTCGTGGGAGAGCAGCTTACCACTCAGCCTTCCAGCTGATGCCTAGCTCTGCCATGCTGCTAGTTGTGGGAATTTTCACTGGGTCCTGGGCCTTTTTCTGGGTAACATCTTTCATGGCTCAGTAAACTTATTTCAGAGGAGAAAGCAGAAGTGTACTAATATGCTGTTAGGTTTAACTTCTCAGAGTAACTAGACAACATGCTGAACTTTCCACATGGGAGAAGTTGGTAGAACAGAACTCAGGCGGCTGACAGGAAGACAGACATCCCTAGTTTCTTTTGGAGACTCAGAGAATGAAGTCTCTGGAACATTGGGTCATTTGGCTGGGTGTGACACCCCCCTCATAGCCCCAAATAGGGTGGTTTCTTGAAAGGGCTCTTCTGTAGCAATGGCTAGCCTCATGCCCTTGCACTGGTTTTGGTAGGTGTTCTGGATGTTGGATCATCTGGGCCATGGTGTCATCGGAGACCTTTCAGGGGTCTTGGCTGGTCAAACCTGATGTATCTTAATCTGGAACAAATCCATAGCCTCTGGCTTTCTGTGGAAATAAAAGCAGAGCCTCCTTTCCAAAGCAACATATCCTTACATCCAAATTTTGAAGTCAAGGTACCTTAAAATATACATATTGGCTTAACTCAACAGCTTTTAAGATCAAATGTTTTTCTGCAGTTAAAAATCCCAAAGACGGGGGACGGGAGGGGGGAGAACAAGGGAATCCGTGGCTGATATGTAGAACTGAATTGTATTGCAAAATAAATTAAAATAAATTTAAAAAAAAAATCCCAAAGACAACACAATCCAGATTCTCTGTGGAATATCCATCTTTACGTGGCTTATTTTTTATACTACCTTTACTGTCTCTTTAAAGACTTTATTTTTAAAAACTATTTCTTTATATAACTGTATATATTCCTTTTTCCTCTCTCTTCCAAGTCTACGTACATTTTTACACACATTGTAAAGCATTTAAAGTCTTGCTCCATCTGAATCTGTCTTATTGTGAATCTATTGTTTTAAACTGCAGTATTACTAGGGCTAAAATAGCCCTTGATTTGAGGGCTGGGATGTCGCTCAAGTGTCTCCCATGCACATGTTTGATTCCCAGCATCAAAAAAGAAACCTTGAATTTTGTAAGATAATGAAGATGTATGCCTGATTTATGCTTAATTTTAATTTCTGATGGGAAAAATAAAACTTGATTAACTGAAATACAAGTTAGGGAGGTTTTACATTTTGATCATGGGAAATAAATATGATTTCATAACTCTAGTTTTCTAGTTGACCTAATTGTAAATTAGTTGTGCATTTTTGCCTACATAATAGTATTGAGCAAGTGAACAATCTGCGAGAGATACAAGCACTGAGGCGCCTGAATCCACACCCAAACATTCTCACCTTGCATGAAGTGGTTTTGTAAGTATATTTGAGCTTGGAAAGTTATCTAAATTAGAAAACTTGATACTAAAGATTCAGTTTCTCTTTATCATGGGTAGACATTTAAAATATTTGCTTTGTAACTGAGAGAATGACAGTTATCACTTCATCTTATTTTTATTTGAGCAAATTGTGTCTCATTTCTATTATTTTGGTGTAACCATGTTTGGAAAGCCTGTGTCTTCAGGATTTGGCTCCTGCAGCTCAGTCAGGTCTCCATGCCTTGTTATGAATTGCTTTCTCATGAAAGCACAGCCCCTTCTTATCATAATTGATACAGTTTCGTGGCATTTTTCATTCGTGTTTGTCGAATAGTTTGCATAAAGTTTACCTGTCAATCAAGAAGACAGAGCATAGCCACAGCCCTGGGGCGCCAACCTGCCACTGTGTTTGCATTGTGCTTCTGATCTCACTGGGCTGGGAAGTCAGGCTGCAGGTTCTAGGACCTGCCATTCTGTGGGTTGGTGTGGTAGGTGTAGAAGCCATGCTGCAGCTTTCAGGGAACCTGGCCTATCCAATTCTTGAAGGAACTCATCTGCCAAATAAGTGTAGTCGATGTCAATCATAGGACAGCATAGTTTAAAATCAAAATGCTGGGTCCTGTCGTAGCTGTATGGCCTCTTGGCCTGCAGTGTTCTTTCCAGTCAGCTCAGCCACACATGGGAGGCCAGCATTCATCTGTATTATGCACAGTGCCAAGGTCATGGGTGCAGGACAGGCTGCAGAGGCAGATGGAGGTGCAGAGCAGTGTCTGGGGCAATGTAGTTTCCCTGCTTAGGGCCTGAGTAAAATAGGATAAGCTTGTTGGTGGTCCCAGGCCTCTGAACCACTCAGTTTCAGACCCTGACCCCATGGGAGTGATGGCACTTGCCTTTCTTAACAGGATTTTGGGTTTTGCCCCCACTCATTGTAAGTTATCTTGATTACATGAAGTAACATAGATCAATTAAAACTAAAGGTATAGCTGGGCATGGTGGCACACGCTTTTGATCCTAGGCAGAGAATGGGTGGATCTCCATGAGTTCAAGGCTCTATGAGTTTGAGGCCACCCTGGTGTACATAGTGAGTTCCAGGACAGCCAGAGCTACACAATAGAGAGACCCTGTCTCAAAAAGCAAAACAACAAACAAACAGAAAAACTAAACATGCAGCCACAAAGCTTGATCTAAATCCATCTCCCCCTGTTATTTTGCTTAGCCAACTCCCAAGCTTTTTTCTTCTTTCTGCTGGTAATTAATGTTCTATTTTCATGACATATCTTTTTTAAAGGTGATTTTAGAGCTTTGCTTTAGAGTTTTCATAGTATTTTGTATTAGTTTTAACCTAAATGTTGATTTAAAGTCAAAATTTGTGCTGTTTTAATAATCTCGTGGCCATTGTGGTGTCTTGTGAGAATGCCTTATTTACCAAAAATGTGTACAAATGCATATTAAAAGACTTGATTATGTTTTCTGATTAAGATAAGAAAAAGTATTTAAAGTCTGCTTTCTTCTGCAGTGACAGAAAATCTGGTTCTCTTGCACTAATATGTGAACTTATGGACATGAATATTTATGAGCTAATACGAGGTATGTAGAGTATTTTGAAAGGTAACCTGAGATGATCTTATAACGAACGTTTGTAGTTACATGTGTGTTGTAGTCATTGGAGTGCTGTAGTGACTGTAGTGACAGGGAAGGTGCAGTGTACAGCTGCTTCACTGGGCCCAGGAGCCATTGTTCTGGCAACCTCTTGGAGATGACTGAGCCACAAGCTTCCTGGGAGATGCTGTGGTTTGGATGAGGCTAATGCTAGAGGCAAGCCCTTCTCACAAGGCTTCACTCTGAGGTCGCCTTGTTTCCCAGCTCGTCCGTTTGCTCCGCATTCTCTTCCGTGCTCCCAAGAAGCTGAGCTCTCCCCTGAACTCTCCTAGGGAAGGATCATCCCTCCTGGCATTTGGAGCCTGACATATCTCATATTCCAGGATGCTCCTTCGTTCCTTCCCTCTGAACAGTAGAGCACTGTTGAGGAAAGCTCACGTGCCTGAGATGACCTGTCATGGCCTTGGATGCTTACAGAGGGACTTTAGGGTACCAGGAAGCAGAGCTTTGGTCTTCATTGAGCAGATGTCCCTGAGAATCTGACTTCAAGGTTATGTTAGATGTCATGATGAAATGCAACTATGAAAGCAATATAGGAGATAGTCTGTTTTCTAGATCACATGATACCCAGAGGACAAATGAAAACCAGACCCAAGCAAACCAGCTGCTAGGCCTGGTGAAACACACCTGTAATCCAGGCTTCTTGAGAGATGAGGGAAGGAAGATTGCCAAGACCACCTTTGGCTAAGTCACAAAACTGTCTCAGAATGTTAAACAGAAAAGGCCTGAGGATATTAGCTCAATGGTAGAACACTTGCCTAGCATGGGAAAGGCCTTGGGATCAATCCCTAGTACTGGAGGAAAAGAAATAGATAAAGAAAGAGAAAGAGAAATGGCAAAGGAAGAAACAGTGAACACCGTCTCTGGGATGGCACTCTGGTGAAAACAGCAGAGATGATTTAAACCTTCCCCTCCAACAGCTGAGGCCAGAGTAAAGCTTCTGGCAAGTGCTTTGTCACCTAGCGACACCCGCCCTGGTGTTTTACATCTTAAAGATCTGTGTGGGGCTGATGTGGCAGCTCACAGCTGCAGTCCCAGAGTACGGGTGGCTTAGGCAGAACGATGGGAGTCCAGAGGCCAGCATAGACTACAGAGCAAGTCCTTAGCTGCATAAAGAGGCCATGTCTGAGAAAACAAAACCAAAGGGAGGCTGCACTGTCACTTCTTTTGGCTGTTTATCGACAGTTCTCCGTATCTGTTATCTGTAGGATACGTCTGTCCGTCCCAGTGTTAGAAACCTTTTGCTTCCTAGGGTGTGATATAGTTATACTTTATGCTCAAGGGAAGGGGAAATGTCTGTGTTGCTATGTGTTTAGACATTTGAGAAAGCTTGGTTTAGAAAATAGTATCTTTGGGCTGGAGAGATGGCTCAGCGGTTAAGAGCACTGGCTGCCCTTCCAGAGGTCCTGAGTTCAATTTCCAGCAACAACATGGTGGCTCACAACCATCCTTAATGAGATCTGTTGCCCCCTCTGGTCTGCAGGCATACATGCAGACAGAACACTATATACATAATAAATAAATACATCTTTAAAAAAAGAAAGAAAGAAAATAGTATCTTTAATTTCCAGTAGCCGGGGGATTGTGTAATTGTAGAAACTGAAGCATTTCTTTCTATATCTACCTACAGAGACTCTGAAAGACATGCTGTTAGACCAACAGACACTCATTGTTGACAGTTCCCCAAACAGGCCTGACTTGTCTGGCTGCTGTGCAGGGTGCCAGTCACTGAAACTTTTGCAAAAGGCAGTTTATTCTCAAGGTGGCCAAGTATGATGGAGACCCAAGTCCCCAAATCTGTTGATAGGACCTGGGTCTATTTTAGGGACAGAGGTAGGTGGGAGAAAGTGTTGGGGTGGAGCAGTCAGAGGTCTGTGCACAGGTAATCAAATTTCCTGGCTTTTCCTGGGACACAGTTCAGAAGTGAAGGTGTCAGTGTGGTCCGAAGGTGAACTTTTCACCCTCCTAATGTAGGAAGCTGCCCTGGGTACTGGGACAGGCCCAAGGGAAGAGTCAGGGATTTTAACAAAGTGGCCTTCAGGTCCCCAAGAAGGAAAGTATGCAAGTGTTATCACCATGATCCACTTGTGGGAGGCGTCACCTACAGCAAAACAGTCGGGGAAACAGTGTTTCATTCACCTGCAGGACCTCCGCAATGAGTGGTCTCTGAAGCTATCCAAAAGCAAGTAGCCAAGAAGGAGCCTGAGCCTTAGAAGGAAGGCAGAGTTGAGGGTGTTAAGTGTGCAGGGAAGGACCCAGTGTGTTCACAGGCTGGTCATGCCCAGAGTTGGGAGGATTCTAAGTGCTGCTGGTGGTGACATTCATATTCTCTCTCTCTCTCTCTCTCTCTCTCTTTCTCTCTCTCTCTCTCCCCCCATAGTACTAACTGTCCCGGAATTTACCATGTAGACATGTAGACCAGGCTGGCCTCAAACTCACAGAGATCCACCTGCCTCTGCCTCCCAAGTGCTGGTGTTGGGGATTGAAGGCCTATGTCACCATGCTTGGCCAGTGGTTACATTATTGAGAATGGTTCACAGTCCTTGAAAGTTGTTTCTGAACTTTGAAAGATACAGATTGCCGGGCGGTGGTGGCGCACGCCTTTAATCCCAGCACTCGGGAGGCAGAGGCAGGTGGATCTCTGTGAGTTCGAGACCAGCCTGGACTACATACAGAGTGTGTTCCAGGAAAGGCGCAAAACTATACAGAGAAACCCTGTCTCGAAAAACCAAAAAAGAAAGATACAGATTTACAGTGATAAGCACTTTTCTGTAAATGCCTAATAGAGGCTTGTGGCGTTTAATGTGTTGAAGTATCTTTCACAGGCCAAGGACTCTGTTGTCTGCACTGAATCTAAGTTGTTGCCAGCCATACTAGGCATCCTAGATGTTAAAATCTGGATAAAGCAGCTGGCAGCATTTACAATGCATTTACTATTGAAAGACACACCATGATTCCAGAGTTAGTAACACATAGGGGCCGGTGTCTTAGAGTCAACAAACTGTAGGCTGTTACTACAGCTGACTGCCAATGGCTGTTCACACTGCTCAGGTGCTGTTTTTTGTTTGTTTTTGTTTTTTTGAGACAGGGTTTCTCTGTGTAACAGCCCTGGCTGTCCTGGAACTCACTCTGTAGACCAGGCTAGCCTTGAACTCACAGAGTTCCTCCTGCCTTTGCCTCCTGAGTGCTGGGATTAAAGGTGTGCTCCACCACCGCCTGGCTTAAAGTGCTGTTCTTTTTTTTTTTCCAGAGCTGAGGACTGAACCCAGGGCCTTGTGCTTGCTAGGCAAGCGCTTAACCACTGAGCTAAATCCCTAACCCCAAGTGCTGTTCTTAATACTTATTGAAATACATTTACCCAACATCCCCCACACCCCTGCCTGCTGTTCATATCCCCACTTTTTTTTTTTTTTTTTTTTTTTGGTTTTATCGAGACAGGGTTTCTCTGTGATGTTTTGGTGCCTGTTCTGGATCTCGCTTTGTAGACCAGGCTGGCCTCGAACTCACAGAGATCTGCCTGGCTCTGCCTCCCAAGTTCTGGGATTAAAGGTGTGCTCCACCACTGCCCGGCCATATCCCCACTTTTATGATGAGGAAATCAAAGAGCAGAGAAAAAAGCATCTTGCCCAAGGCTGTCTACCTGATAAGTGGTAGAGCTTGGCCTTGAGCTGAGCCTGGCTCCAGAGAGAAACTGCCATTGGTCCTGTTTCTGTCATTTCTACAGATGAGCTAATTGAAGTTTGAAGGATTAGTAATCCAGGTAGAGCTCTTCAGGTAGGACAGAGCTGGCATTGAGACGCAAGTGTGTGAAACCTGTGCTCTGTTCCCTGGCCCAGCTTGGGCTTCCAGTTAGTCTCCCCAGATTGTTTGTGCATGCTGATGACAGTGTGGACCGACTGAAAGCTCTGGGTCGCTAAAACTTTTGCTTCAGATGGCAGTCACGTGACTTCAAGGTCCGCATTAGAGCACTCGGTAGCACTGCCACATACTGAAGAACAATCACACAGCGACGGGGAGACCATGCTGGCTTTAGTGGGTTGTCTGCTCGCACAGTGTGACATCCAAGGCACATACAGTCTGTGCAGAAATAACTAGAAGAGCGTGTCCTAGGCTGTTTTTCCTTTGTCCAGCAGGTGTCAGGGGAGGCAGGGCGGACTGAGAACTGGAGACTCCTAGGCTTTCCTGGCCTTGTGGTAGAGTCAGATAGAGGCATGATTCCCTGCCATGGGCTGTTCTAGATGTAGTAACACAGTGGACACAGGGTTGCCCTGTATGGATGAAGAGAGACAGCCTCTTGGAGAAAGTCTAGTCAGGTCTCTGGGAACCAGAACGAAGGGCGCTGATTGCTGAGGCCGCAACTGACTGTGGCTGCAGCCCCCTGCCTGCCTTTGCCCCCAGCCTGTCCCCTTCCTCCTCTGAGTGTTTGGTCTTCTAAACCCTGAGACCTCCAGTGACAACAGAGGAAGGGGCTGACTCAGAACGCTTTAGAACACACACCTAGTCAGTGTGCTGGGCCACACGCAGGGCTGTCACTGTAGGGCTGCAGCTTTCTGACGCTGTGGCTGGAGCAGGCTTCCTGAAATGAGTCCGTGACAGTGGGAGAAGCCGGGTCAGAGTTGGCCTGACTGTAAAGTAATACTGTACCACTCTCACAGCTGGTGCTTTGGGTCTTACCCCATGCAGCACACCTGCTAGGAATCATTGCTATACCCGGTGAATGTATATTTGATCAGGTCTGATCCTGTGTACCAACAGGAAGGATGGGAATGTTGCCAGTGCAGCTTCAGCACTTGGCAGGTTTAATTCTACCTTTATTAAGAGGATCTTTCAGTTTTTGTACATATATAAGAGGGAAAACAGATGTAAGCTATGTTTTTTAAATACTTTTTTGCACTTTTGAATTCACCGAATATGTGCAGGTTTCCATGGAGGCCAGAAAAGGGCATCTGATCCCTTGGAGTGGAGCTGGAATTTTAGGCTGTTGTGAGCCACCTGACCTGGGTGCTGGGAACTGAATGTGGGTCCTCAGCAAGAGCAGGATGCAGGCTTAACTGCTGAGCCTTCTCTCCAGCCCTGTTGGCTCTCTGTGTTACAGTATTCCTAGTCCTTTTTTGAATGTCTGACTCAGAATGACTGACATCTGTTTTCTTGACCATCATTCTCTGCCATTCAGAATATGGGTGAGACAACACATCACTGGAATACTTCTTCTAAAAGGATGACACCATCCTAGTAGGGAGTTCTGTGGTTGGTTTTATTGGCCTATATTAATTATACATAGTGATGGGCTCTATTTACATTTTCACACATGTCTATAGTGTGTTTTGAACTTATTTGCCCTGTCTGCCATCTTTGTCCCTCCTTGGTTCCTGCTGATACCATTCCTATTCCCAACCAGTCCCTCTTCTGAGCTGGGCGTGGTGGCACACACCTTTAATCCCAGCACTTGGAAGGCAGAGGCAGGTGGATCTCTGAGTTTGAGGCCAGCCTGGTCTACAGAGTGAGTTCCAGGAAAGCCAGGGCTACAGAAAAACCCTGTCTTGAAAAAGAACAACAACAACAACAAAACCAAAAACAACTAGCCCCTCTTCCTTCTTGTACTTTCTTACCTTTTTTTTTTTTTTTTTTTAATGGAGTTTTTCTGTGTAGCCCTGGCTGACCTGGAACTTGCTTTGTAGACTAGGGTTGTAGTTTCACATCTTTAAAAAATATTTATTTTTATGTTATGAGTGTTGGCTTGCATGTATGTGTGTGCATCAGGGGTGTGCTTATTTCTTCCTGTGTGTGAGACCCAGTGAGTTTAGGGCTGGTCATAGGAGCACGGGTGAGAGGTTATCCACAGGAGCATGGGCACGGTACCAGAAGATTCACCACTGAACAAAATGGCTCCATTGAGTGCCCATAGATCCTGAGGGAGGAGTGGGGCCCCATGAGCTCCTCGTCCTTCTCTAATAGGACGTTAATGGTGGGACTCTAGTGCAGGTAGTCACATCTGCTGTGAGTCAATAGAGCAGTGGCCTTGTCGTGTCTAGGAGACAGCGTCCATAGCGCTCTACCCCCATCTGGTCTTTCCTTCTTCCCCCTCCCCCTTCCGCAGTGTTCCCTGAACCTTGGGAGTTTGTTTCTTGTGGCTGAGTCCAGCAGTTGCCTGTTCTTAGCACATCACCAGTTCTGACTCTGCAGCCCTCCTGTTGGGGAGGAATTATGGAAAGTGTGCTACAGATAGCCTGTGTTAGGATACAGCATGTGCCTAGAGTCCATGCTCAGCCCTGGACTTTTGATGTCCTCCATAGGCGCCTGTACCTTACTGTTTGGCTGGAAAATGGAGAGCTCTTAGTGTCCACCTCTGGAGGTTGCCTTGAGCCTTAAAATCACATGTGTGAAGTGTGGAGAGCAGTGTCCCACCCACAAGTGTCTTCAGTGACCAGTGATCATCTATCTCCATCAGTGTCACTTTGCAGTTTACAGTGTGTGGTGTAGTTTGTGTGTAAGCAGAGTGTTACAGACTGCAGTGTGGTTCTGCCTTTGATGATCTTATTCAGTGAGCCAAGCCCTGTTTGAGAGGTGAAGAAATTCAGTGTCTTCAAACAAAACTGAAATATTTCCATTTTCAGTCACCTAAGATGATGCATCTTTAAAGCACAGAACCAGAAGGGCTGTGTCCTTGAGTTTGCCATGGCTGACAAGGGAGGGCCACCTAGACATTCAGGCTCTGATCAGATCTGGCATCCTAGCTACTGTCATGTCTCCCCTCTGGTCCACAGTTCTCTGACTCTTCGCTCAGAGCCTTTGTGAGATACCAGGTGCTCCTTGGGTCACACGGGGGCATGCTTGTATACACACATGCTGCGGGCATGACCCCTAGGCCTCCAGTATGGAGGACCATTGGCTCTGCTGTGCTGAGTCCAGCATGTGACCTCTGCACCTGACCAGAAAGCCAGGCTTTGGCTGGAGGACAGGGGTTTTATGGGAGTGTGTGTGCTGGAGAGCCTGTCACAGTGCAGGCCGGTTTTCCTTCAACTGCCCCTGACTTACAGTGAACGCCGATCACTGCTTGCTTAAGATGTTTTACATAACTAAGATTGTGTGTGACATTCCACTGAGCCTTCTGAGTGACAGTATTCTGAAAATGTACTTGTAGAAGACTCTAGCTATGCAGATGAGGGAAGTAGCATTTGGGTTTTCCACTGCTCCAGCAGATGGGGTTCTCCAGTTTACTAATGACGCCTTTCTTTTTGTTTGCTTTGGACTGTTTGAAAAGAAACTGGTAGGAAGGAGACATACGCTGGGCCTGAGAGGGCTGGGATCTGTGTGGGATGACTGGACAGTGGGTGGTTAGGCCACTCCTTTCTAGGGTGTGGACTCTCCTCACTGGTGTTGTATTGTTCCCCTGGTGCCTAACTCCCGTGAGGACACCTGCCTAGGGGAGAGAGCTGGCCCCAGTCCCCTGGGCTTGGCTGAAGGGAACTAAGGAATATCAGAGGGCTGCGTAGCTGATCAGGACTCATGCTGGGGCCCAGGACAGATAAGAAACTAGATTCTTGGACCCCATGCCCATGCTTGGGACTTCTAGACCTAAGTGTGGGCCTTAGCATCTGCTTTTCTTACACATCACCAGATGGCTGTGGTGCACAGCAGTGACTTCCTACCTAACACATCACCAGATGGCTGTGGTGCACAGCAGTGACTTCCTACCTATCACCAGATGGCTGTGGTGCACAGCAGTGACTTCCTAACAGCCCAAGCTCCCAAGTCCAGTTCAGATGATAAAATACCCGCTTCATGCACTCGGGAGGCAGAGGCAGGCAGATCTCTATTAGTTTGAGGCCAGCATGGTCTACAAAGTGAGCTCCAGGGCAGTCAGGGATGTTAACAGAGAAACCCCACCTTGAAAAACCAAAAAATTAAAAAAAAAATTAATATCTGCTGAGTGTGGACTGGTGGGATGGCTAACCGGGTAAAAGTGCTTGCTGCCAAGCCTGTTAACCTGCCTGAGCTGGTTTTCAGGTTGTCCTCTGATCTCAGCACGTACACACACACACACACACACACACACACACACACACACACACACACACACAATTAAATAAATGTGAATTAAAAAAATAATTGGCCAGATGTGGTGGTTCAGACCTTTAGTCCTAGCACATGGCAAGTAGAGGCCTATGGATCTCTGTGAGTTTGAGGCCAGCCTGGTCTATACAGTGAGTTCTAAGCCAGCTAGGACTACATAGAGAGACCCAGTCTCAAAAATACCTAAAAGTAAATAAATCAATAATACAGATAAAAGATTTGGATACATAATGCAGAACATAACTGCAAAGTGCATTCCCATAAATGGATCAGTATGAAGGCAGGTGTGAAGCAGGAGCTCTGGGGTGCACAGGACAGAGGGACTTGGTGGGGAGGGTCCAGTCTAATTCAGATGTCCGAACCAATGTGTGAGCCCAGCAATGACCTAAGGAGAGCCCAACTCCAGCAGGTGTGCAGGAGATGAAAGTTACTTGCTCAGGCTGTCCTGAAACAGGGAATCTTCCTGCCTCGGCCCCCCAGTGCTGGGTTCCACATTTCTGTCATTATACTCGGTCTCTGTTTTCTTTATATAGAACAAAGTTTTTTGACACAGGGTCTGATTCTGTAGTCCAAGCTGGCCTCAAACTTGTGGGGATCCTCCTGCCTCAGCTTCCCAAGTTCTGAAATCAAAGACATAGGCCATTATTATGACTGGCTTTTTTTTGTGTGTGCTGGGGAATGCACCTAAGACCTAAGCACTCTAAGCAAGTGATGTGCAACTGAGCTATATCCCTGGCTCTGTAGATACTAAGTTACAAAATCCCCCAAGCTTAAGAAAGCTAACAAAAAATCTTAATTTTTTTTTTTTTTTTTTTGAGACAGGGTTTCTCTGTGTAGCTTCGGTGCCTGTCCTGGAACTCGATCTGTAGACCAGGCTGGCCTCAAACTCACAGAGATCAGCCTGCCTCTGCTTCCCGAGTGCTGGGATTAAAGGTGTGAGCTACCACACCTTTCAGAGATCTGAAAACTAAATTATTTTCTGTTGTTGTTTTGAGAGAACTGGCTCCCACAACTTGTCCTCTGACTGACAAACACGCTGTGCCCTACCTGTGCTCTCCCCTAACTAAAGGTTTAAAAGTTAAGTGGTGTGTTTATAAGTGCACTCCATATTTCCTAAAAATGCTTCAGGTTATTTTTCACAGAGAAACCTGAGTTGTCACATACTTTATTTATTTATTTATTTATGAGCCAAGGTCTTGTGTAGTTCAGGCTAGCCTCAAACCCATCATATGGTGGAGGATGACCTTGAACTCCTGATCCTCTGGCCTGTCTCCTAAATGCTGGGATTACAGGTGTGTGCTGCCACCCCAGCCCACAGGATTTATGTTTATTTCATAAAGGGGTATACTGTGTGTGTGGCATTGGTAAACATATTGGCCCATTTCCTTGACTGCACAGGAAGAAGACATCCATTATCGGAGAAAAAGATCATGCATTACATGTACCAGTTATGCAGATCACTGGACCACATGCACAGGTAGCTGGGAGGGGGCGGGTCCCCACCAGCGTGCAGGGACACGGCCCCAGGAGGAGACTTTGGATCAGTGAGGTGCCAGTCATTCTCTTCATTCTTTCTTTAATACTCAATGCAGAAACGGGATATTTCACAGAGATGTAAAACCAGAAAACATACTAGTAAAGGTAAAAACTTATATAGAAACTTGATATCTAATAAAGGTAGAACATAAAGTTGTGAATGTTTTCTTCTTTCTAGATTTATTTTTATTTTTAACTAAGTGTGTATGTGTTTGGCTGGGTGACGGTGGTGGTGGTGGTAGTCGTGGTGGTGGTACACACCTCTAATCCCAGCACTTGGGAGGCAGAGGCAGGAGGATCTCCGTGAGTTTGAGGCCAGCCTGGTATACAGAGCTAGTTCCAGGACAGCCAGGACTAAACAGAGACCCTGTCCTCGAAGGGAAAAAAAAGTGTGTGTGTTTGAGTGTGGGTCTGTACACAAAAGTGTAGGTACTCATGGAAGAGCCAAGATTTGAAAGCTCTAGAGCTGGAGTTCTGGATGGTGGTGAGCTGCCGTGTGGTACTGGCAGCTGAACCTGGATCCTCTGCAAGAGCAGTACAAACTCTTAACCACAGAGCCATCTCTCCAGACTCAGAATATAAAATTTGATTCACTGGATAAGTCTTCTGTCCCAGAAAGCTGGAAATTATGGTTTGGGTTTGAGTTTTGTGGTTCTGGAATAGAACCCAGGGCCTTGTCCATTCTAGACAGACTTTGTGCCCTGGCCTGGGTTAGATGACTTTGTTCTGTCAGTTTGTAAAAGGAGGCTTGCTTTAGCAAACGCTGTCAGCATTACAGACTGTCCTCCTGGAAGAATGCAATAGAAGGAGGCACTTTTGCTCAGTAGACAGCCACTCCCTGTCTGGAAATGGAAATAGCCATTCTCCATGCTGAATGTCAGCTTGGGAGAGGGAGAGTTTGGGGGGCCTCCAAATTTGAGATTTCTCAGACTTGAGGTCTTTTCTGAAGTCTCCTTGCTACCCAAATTGAAAGTGTCCCACGCATGGTTTCTCTGACTTGCTATCAGAAGAGACCCCTTGACCACATGGCTGCAAGACGCTTGTGTGCAGTGAGGCTAGAACAGAACCACCCAGAGGATAGAAGTGACTGGTGAAGGGACTCGTCTGGATTTAGCACTTTCCAAACACATGGACATTTGTATTCTTCCACTGGAGTCACTTAAAAAGCCTGCACATTATGTTCTATGAGCTGCTTAGATGCTGGGATTTTCCTGTAGTTTGTATGTTTGAAACGGTTTGTGTGATAGTGGCTATAGATTAAGATAGAGTCAATCCTGCTCTCTCTCCCTTGCAGCAGGATGTCCTGAAACTAGGGGACTTTGGGTCATGCCGGAGTGTCTATTCCACGCAGCCCTACACAGAGTACATCTCTACCCGGTGGTACCGGGCCCCAGAGTGTCTTCTCACCGATGGGTTCTACACATACAAGATGGACCTGTGGAGCGCTGGCTGTGTGTTCTACGAGATTGCCAGGTAGAGCAGGGCTAGCACCTGAGCCTGATGTACCGCACAGAGTGACGTGGGCAGGTCCCATGGTGAGGCTGGGCAAGGCACTTGCCAGCTCTTCCTTTAAGCTCCAGGATGCGGTCATTCTGGTTCCGCTTGGTTTCTACTGCACTGGGCTCTCCTTCAGCAGGCGGTTGCCTAGGGTTTCATCTCGGTTCTTGCCAAGTACTTGTCCTTACTTGCATGACCTGGGCAGCAGTACCCAAAGGCCTGGTGGCAGGGTGGGACTGGGGGTGTGGCTTGATCATGCAGTGACCACAGGCAAGATGAGAGAAACAAGGCACCGCCACCTTTGATCCTCCTGTGGAGAGGCGAGAGCAAGTGGCCTGCCGCAGTGTGGGCAGGAGGCTCCTTCTGGCACGGTTGGACTTTTCTAGAAAGCCCCAGCTCACTCTTCCTCTGACCTTTTGATACCATTCCTGGGAAGAACAGGGGCTGAGACACAGACTGAGGGGTTGTCGCACTCAGAGGTGAGTGCTGTCCCCCTTAATCAGGCCTTGGGAGGAGTGGGTAACAACCTTTACTCACGGTGGATCTTCACATGAAGTGTCAGCACAGACAGGGACCCAGGGGTCACCAGTCCCACCTGCTCTTCTGACTGCTGTGGATCATGGTGTGGACATGCACTTCCGGCCTTCTTTGGTACTAATATGTGTATACTAATAATGCCGTTTGGAAAGCCCAGTGGTGACTTTACTGAGGCTGTAAATGCCAACAGACAATTCTTTGTCATGTGCTAAGTTTGGAAGGGTATTACAGGACAGATAATTAAGAGCAGCAACATTGCAGCAGCCAGCAACATCTGAGCAAAATTTCAGACAGCCACAGGTGAGCCATTAGTAAACCTGTCCTGTGCCTCAGAGCTAATTTTTAATCTCTCACAATGTCCCCTTTGGCCATGATGCTAAAGAGTCCTGCTGCCAGAGTTGTAGTTTAAGTTTTTGTTGTGGCATGGAAGGGGATCCTATCCTCAGATCAGAACAGCTCGGAGCGGAAGGCCTCTTGAGACTTATTGCCAACATACTTGACTTCAGCCACCTGCAGGTTCTCAATCAACTCTGTGGGCTACAGGAGGGTCTTTGTAGTTTATGGCATTTTGCAATAGAGAAATGAGGGTGTTGGACTGAGGGGAGAGATCTGTTGACTGCCTCTTAAGAAATTCCTTAGGGGGCTGGAGAGATTCTCAGTGGTTAAGAGCACTGGCTGCTCTTCCACAGGACCTGGGTCCAATCCCCAGCACCCATATGATGTCTCATACCATCCATAATTCCAGTTCCAGGAGGTCTGATGTCCTCTGGGCATCCTGGGCACCTGGCAGGCACATGTGCACAGACATACTTGCAGGCAAAACACCCGTACACAGAATTTTTAAAAAATTTAGAAATTATAAGTTTAGGCTAGGCAGTGGTGGTACACGCCTTTAATCCCAGCACTTGGGAGCAGAGCCAGGCAGATCTCTGTGAGCTTGAGGCCAGCCTGGGCTACAGAGCAAGTTCCAGGACAGCCAGGACCCTGAGAAACCTTGTTTTGAAAAACAAAAACAAAACAAACAAACGAATTAAGCTTAAAGACGTCTTTCAAAAAAAGAAGGAAGAAAGAAAAAGAAATAGTCGGGGCAGTAGGGAAGGCTCTCCCGGCCAGAGGCTTGCTGTGTGCTTCAGGCTACTTGTGTGGGCTGAGCTGGTGGAGGTGGCCTGCCTCACTGCAGCGCCCCTTCTTGTGTCCCTGCAGCCTGCAGCCCCTCTTCCCTGGTGTGAATGAACTGGACCAGATCTCAAAAATCCATGACATCATTGGCACACCTTGTCAGAAGACCCTCACCAAGTTCAAACAGTAAGTGTATGTGTCCTGGAGGCTGCTGTGCGTCCACTGTCGGGGCCAGCCTTTCTACAGCAGGCCAGGGATGGTGCCTAGAGCTCTCCCATGACCCCAGGACACTTTCTGGGCCACCCACCCATTTGGGCTCCTGCTGTGAGAGAGGAGCCAGCCATCTCATTCTTCCTGGAGTCACAGAAAGCTCTCTAGTCTCCCAGGAAGGCCTGGTGTTGGGTTTCATCCCCAGAGCGTTTATATAGGCCTTAGGTCTGCTTGGGTGAGAACTGCTGCTTGTTAGAAAGGCTGTCAGTGGTGACTTCCTGGGCCGCCAGTCAGCAGCAGGAGGGTGCCGGTGACGCCCAGCCCTTGCAGCCCCATTGGAGTTTTGATTTGATGATAGATGAAGCTGAGGACTGTAGGGGGCGGGGACTTGCTAGGAGAGATCTCCCAGAAGCCCCATGGTCCAAGGAAGGTCAGTAGAGAAGCCACCCTCTTTGTTTTCTCCTATTCACCTTAATTTTAGTCACACAGGAAGGTGAAGTTTCTGCTTCAACAGGCAAGGGAGTCTTTGTACATTTATAGCACATGCATCCTTGTTTACTAGTTTATTTTTTGGAGTAGTTTTAGTACAGCCAAAGCAAACAGGAAATGCAGAAATCCATCCCTTGCACAGCCTCCCTGCTAGCTCCGAGCAGTGTGTTTTATCCAGTAGTTGAGCCTGCACTGATGGTTGGGTTCTCTGAATTCAGGAGGTGTACGTTCTCTTAGCCCATCACCCTTTTTTAAAGCCCAGGTTGGCCTCAGATTCTTTATGTAGCCGGGGCTGGCTTTGAACACCTGGTCCTTTTCCCTCTACGTGGCAGTGCTACGGTTGCAGCCATGTCCCAGTACACCCAGCCTGACGTGCTTCCTTGGAGGACTGAACTCTTACCGTCAGTGCAGGGCCCTTAGAGGCAGGGGGACGAACACCAGTGCTCTAATAATGGCATGATGATTTATTATCATTGGGCTTTCAATACAGGTCGAGAGCTATGAGTTTTGATTTTCCTTTTAAAAAGGGATCAGGAATACCTCTACTGACAACCAATTTGTCCCCGCAATGCCTCTCCCTCCTGCATGCAATGGTGGCCTATGACCCTGATGAACGAATCGCGGCTCACCAGGCCCTTCAGCACCCCTATTTCCAGGTGCAGAGGTAGGATTTCTGGTAGATTGCCCAGTGATGAGTGGGAAGTCTTGGTTTATGAGACCCATGGGGAAGGAACTGGCCTGGGAACAGCTCTATCCTGACAGGGGTCAGTGTCTCTGTGATGTGTCCTTTCTCTAATGAGGCAGTTAGCAGCTTCCCAGCACAGGAAGGAGGGCTCTGGGGCTGCTTTGGGGTAGATGTCAGAGCCCCAGTAGGTCAGCTCCCTGGAAAAGCCTGGTACACATCCAGGATGGACAGCATGACTTCACTGATTTTCAAGTGGCCACCTAGCTCTAGAAGTCTTTTCTGAGTGCTCGGTGGGAGGAGCTTACCTAGGCCACCTAACTTCACACATCCACACACTCCTGAATTGACTGTTTGGCCCTAGGAAGGCCATGTATAATACTGCATGCTTAAAAGACAGCCTCTGTTCCCAGCCCAGACAGCATTGGGTTTGTACAGGAAGGGAAGAAAGGCCTCTGGTAGCTCACGTGGAAAGAAGTGTGAATGATCACTCATAATGGCAGATTTGTAGGTGAAGGGAACAGCTAAGCTCTGGAGCCATTATCGTAGGTGGCCACATTCTTTTCCTTCCCTGTAGGGCAGCTGAGACACAGACCCTGGCCAAACACAGAAGAGCTTTCTTCCCCAAGTTCCCCATGGTGCCAGAGTCATCCAGGAATAACTGGTCATTCTCAAAGGAGGGCAGAAAGCAGGTATGAGCTGAAATCAGTGAGCTGGGTGAAGACTGGAAGCCTTTGCGTAGCTTGTGTCTGAGAAGGCCACCACAAGTTGTGAGGTGGTGACACCTCTTCCAAAGGGCATCATGTCAGCTGAGATCTGAACACCATGGTCTCATGTTAGGAATATTCTAATTGCTCTATGGACCTGGCTCCATCTACCTAGGCCCTTTCTGCCTCACTAGCTACAGACCCATGGCTAACAGAACATGGGAGTAAGCCTGGAGAGGGGACCCTTCCATGACTATCTGACCTGATGGCCACGTGCAGGTGCCTGTTCTGGACCAAAGCCCTTTGTGGGCACACCTGCTTTTCTCCTGAGAAGCCACAGTAGCCCCTAGCTACAGTTGGTGAGCGCACTATCATGAGGAGCATCACCCTGGTTAGCGGGGGGGGGGGGGGGGGGGGGGGGGGGGGGGGGGGGGGGGGGGGGGGGGGGGATGGTTTTGCATTCTTCCTAGTTAGACATGCCAGCTTCACCGTGCAGTCTCCTCGTCTTTTTCACCTCTCTGGCTGCATCCTGACATGTGGTGCCCATGTGCTGAGTTCTGCCAACTGTACAGCCTGGGGCTAGTACCCAAATTCTACCTGTGCATTCACTGTTTGGGCCTCTCACCAGTCAGGTGCTCCTCCTACCTTACTGAGTCTCTGTCCGTGGCAGCGGCTGATCACGTGGATCCATTGCAGCCAGTGTCTCCCAGAGCTTTGACTGCTGTGCCCAGTCAGGCCTGTGGACAGCTGTTCCCACATACCGGGAAGCAGGTGTACAGGGCAGTACCATCTCCTACATTCCCCCAGACTTTAATTCCCATGGCTCTCCTTCCCAGGGGGCCTGCAGCTCCCTCGGATGTCCAGGCCCACATGGTAACCTCCCGTCCCTCAGCTGTGTCACTGCTTGCCCTCAAACTCTTGTCTGCTGGCACGCCTCCATCCCGACTCACCTCCAAAGTGAAGCCACATCCAAGGCGGGCACTTGTTTCTGAAGGCTATGCCTGTCTCCTGGCTGTGGCTTGCGAGCCACAACTCAATGAGGTACCTAATGTGGCAGAATCTTATTCCAGGGAGCTGCACACTGACCATCTTTTCCACATTCTCTTCACATGCTAGGCATTCTTTTCAGTACTTAAAAAATGCAGAAACTACTGGGCATGGTGGAACACACCTTCAATCCCAGCACTCAGGCAGAAGCAGGCAGATCTTGGTCTACATGGCAAGTTCCAGGCCACCCAGGGCTACATAGTGAGAGCTTATCTCAAAAGCAAGTAAGCAAACAAATGCAGAATCATTCTTACCCTGAAGCTGTACAAAAGCCTACTGGGGTCAGCTTAGCCCAGAGTGATAGCTGTGGTGCTTTAAGCCTGCCCTTGCCCATCACCTCACTGCAGGTTGGCCAGAGCTCAGCCTTAAGGCTGCGTTGAGGGCCAGTGCTTGATAGGAAATGCAGAATACAGGAGGACCCCTGGGAGGCGCTGCCTTTGCTTGTAGGGTTTGGGGAGTCTGCCCCCACACACGGGTGTCTGTTCACCATAGTCTCCATCCTGGCTCTAGCCAAGAAGTTTGATGTGGCAAAAGAGCTTCCTTTGCTTGAGCCGATTCCTGAAGGGGAACTAACTGATCAGTGTTCTGTTTCAAAAAGCAGCCCCTGAGGCAAGAGGAGGGCCATGCCAGAAGACAAGGGCCAGCCAGCTTGATGGAGCTGCCCAAACTGAGGCTGTCCGGAGTAACCAGACTGTCGTCATGTTCCAGCCCTGCACTGCGGTCAGTGCTGGGCCCTGGAGCGAACGGAAGAGTCCCTGTGTTGAGACCCTTGAAGTGTGCTGGTGTGAACAAGAAGGTAGTAGTCTCTAGCTTCTCTGTGGGGCTGCTCGAGGGCCTGGCCTCGACCTCCACTCAGTGTCTGTGGTTCTTCTTTACCAGACAGACACGCAGAAAGCCATCAAACCTCACCTGAAACAGTGTCACCTGCCCACGATCAACAGGAAAGGGGGCGAATACTGAACAGCATGCCCCCTGGTCACCCTCTTAGAGAGCAAGGGCAGGCACCATGGGCAGGCTTAGGCCTCTGCAGCTGAGAATGGATGGGCCAGAGGATGCCCTGTGTGCTGGTGGTCCTCATGATGCTTGGTGGCCCAGGACATGCTGCCTAGCAGCCCGTCTGTATCCACGACCTGAAGCCTCGTGTTTGTAACCCCAAAGCAGCTGTACCAAATGTTCCAGTTTAATATATTTGTAAAACCACCTCATTCAAGGGCTTATTTCATTTTCATAATGTAAGGATTTGAGGTGACTTTTTATATGAATCAAAACAGATTGGGCATAGTAGGTAGCTCATGCCTGTAATTCCAGCACTGGGGAGGTGGAGGACAGGAAGAGCCCCGCCTGGGCTACATAGTGAGTATCCCTGCCTAAAAAAAACAAACAAACAAAAAAAAACAAAAAAAAAAAACCAAATAAAAGATAGAACGAAATCTGTGCTGAGTGACTTAGGCTTGGTTGAGAGGAGGCTGTGCACCTGCACCTCCGTGTTTGCCCAACAGGATTGGCAGGTATCTGGGTCTTGTGGCCGTGGGGCCTCACGGGAGTGCTATTGCAGACTGCTGGTTTTCAACTAAAGAATAAGGTATTGTTACAGTTTCTCATCAGAATGTTCTCCATTTTAATGTGTTACAAGCCACTGCTTTGTGTCAGCTGTCCTGAGCTGCAGCTGGGCAGGCTGACATCCCAGCAAGCAGGGCAGGCCTCAAGTGTCCTCTGAGTGAGTTTTGAGTGGTGGCCATGTTGTCTTGATTGCCAGTGCCTAGACTCCCTTAGGGATGCACAGCTAGTCATCTGGTTGTCAGTGCTGTTTGGATCAGGTAGGAAAGTTGGGCACTTTGTGCCTTGGAAAAAGAAGGCTGGGGCTCAGGAGACAAGGAGTGGGCCTGAGTGTTTGCTGCATGAGAAGAGGACCTGAACTCAATCCACAGCATCCACATAAAAACTGGGTACTGCTCTACCCTATAACCCTATCACTAGGGCAGGGAACAGTGCAGGACGGGACAAAGACAGGAGGGTGTCTGGGGCTTGCTGGCCACCAACCTACCCAAACCCAGCAAGCTCCAGGTTCAGTGACTCTCTTGAGGGAACCAATGGGGCCGAGAACAATAAATAACACACTGGGTGTCTTCCTCGTGCTTCTGCACATGGGTGCACACACCAGTACACATACACACACACACACACACACACACACACACACTCAAAGCCCATGTCACTGCAGGGGAGGGATGGGAACACTGTAAAAGAATGGTGCTGAGTGGACTCAAAGTCAAAAGCATTGGTCAGACAGCTGGACTTTGGGACAAGATCCTCCCCAGCCTCTTGGCTTTTGTTTTTGCTCTCGCCGTGTTGGGGGTAGAACCCAGGGCCCCGTGCGTTCTCAGTAACTACTCATTTAGCAGTGGCCTAGGCTCTGCTCAGCCCTATGGGACAAAGGAATTGAGTATGTCTTCTTCATCGTCTTTTCAAATACACCCACTTAAAAAGCGAAAACTTGGCAGGAAGTGTTGAGTCTCAAAAATATCTGACCCCATCTTTCAGGGCTCTACTGGCCCAAGCGTCAGGCCACCAGACAGGTGGGTAGGGGCAGTGCCAGGAGCCAAAGGGCAATGAAGCTGTAGGAGGAAGATGTGGGACAGCAGAGGGCAGTGTGTGGGCATGGAGCACTGTGGGTATGGATGTCCAGCATAGGCAGGTTCAAAACCAGAAATGAGGCTTAGAATGGACAGAGCCAGGGCCTGGTGGGTGTCTCCTGCTCATCTGAAAGCATAGTGTGGCTCTGGCAAAGGACTGTCCGGCCTTTGCCGTTGGCTTAGGAGTCTCAGTCCAGTAGGCATTAACCAGGCTTGCAGCCAGTCCAGCACAGAAGGGACCGGACACGGAAGCCAGCAGAGTGGCCAGGACAGAATGGCCCAAAGTAGGACCTGCAAGGCCAGCAAGCTGAGCTGAGGGGGAGGAGGTTGGGCAGAACTAGAACCTGGAAAGGCTGCACTAAGGACTCGAGGGGAGACCTCTTGGCTTTCTCTGCCTCCTGTGGGCCTAGCATAGCAGCCCAGTGCATCATGGGTTCTCCCGTGCAGCAGAATTTGAACAGCAACTTCTTGCCAAGTGTTTGAATTGTCACCACAGCATTCTGTGATGGAAAGGCAATGAAGTCCCATCCTTCCCTTCTACCATGGTAGACGTGATGACGCAGCCTTCCCTCTAGCCTAGGCCCGACACATGGAGTGACATCCATCAAGTCCTACAGTACCAGGTAAGTGAGCTGTCACTTCCTATGGCTCCAGGACCTGCTGTACACTGTCTGTCTGTGGTGTTAGGGCAGTTATAAGACCATCTGGAAGGCTAGGGACTAATCAGAAAAGTTAGTTACTGGTGTAGTCATCTGAGGGACACTGGGACACGTGACAGCTTAGTACAGCTGGTCAAATGGGAAGAGGACGACAGACCCGAGTGGCAGTTAGTGAGAGCTGTGGAATACAGCTGGAGCATCTCTTCAGGAGGTGCTTCAGTTTCCACACAAGTCTGTGCTGCCTTGCTGTCAACGTGACTTCCTCCCATCATGTCCTACAGAGGTGGAATGGAAATGCTTCGGGAGACTGGCAGGTTCCATGTAGGCTTGGTTTTCAAGAGCAGCTCCTAATCACCTTCTTGAGATGTTCTGGACTCTAAGGGCTGAGTTTTTCTTTGTAACCAGTGCCCTAAGGTGGCAGGAACAGCAAACTCTGAAACGTGTCAACCCTTTCTTCTAATGTGATCATTCAGAGTACATGATTTCCTTAAACAGTGAGATGGCTCAGTGCTGCCAACCCTCACGACCTAAGGTCGATCACAGAACCCACACGGTAGAAGAAATGACTCCCTCAAGGGTTCTCTGACATCTATATGCATAGAATAGCATACTTATACATGCTGCATTACAAAAGTTGAGTCTTCAGCGAGGCACAGTGCATATATGCTTGTAATCCATGCTCTTGGGACTTGGAAGGCTGAGACAGAAGGATTCCTTTGAGTTGGAGGTAATCTAAACTACACTGTGAGTTCCAGGCTAGCTGGGGCCTGTCAATAACAGACCAAAACAAGAGAAGAAGATGTGGGTCTTAGCATCCTGTGTTACACCTTTCCAGGGCTGAGGCAGCAGCAGAAGCAAGTGGCTTCTTCCCTGGTCTGGGAGCCAGGAACCTAAGGCAAATGAAAACAAACTTGGGCTTGCACTGCTGTGAACTGTGGAGTAGCATCATTCTGCTGCAGCCATGGCTGTTAAAAATTCAGACAACCTAGCAAAAGCCTCATACTTCTTCCATATGTCCCCTATTTAATGGGATCATTTGGAGAAATGTTTCAGACACCTTGTGACTTAGTCTCAGCACATAAATCCTTCAAGGGCCCAGCTCTGTATGATGCTTTAAAAGCTGAGAAAGGTCCTCTTGGCTTGGAAATATGGGCCTTGTCTCTAGGTATCACCTGCAGATGAAGTGGGCCAAGAATTTGACCTGAGCACAAAGATGCACGCCTGCCTGCTGGTCAACCCTCTGGAAGCCCCATGTAATGTCTGAGCTAAACAGTCATGGTGCTGCTGCTGCTGAAGCCGTGGAAACTTAGTGTGTGGTCTCAGCTTTCCAGGACAGCAGGCGGACTCTAAACCATAAGGAAAAGGCCATGTGCTTACACCGGAGTCTCTAGGCCTGGGCAGCTCCACGGTGTGTCGGACTATGAGGACTGGCCCAGAACCAACAATTCTCAAATGAGACATGTTTCTCACAGTCAGCCTTACACCGGACTGACAGTGAGGGACCAAGGAATATGAAATACAAAGAATGAAGCAATTCCATACCAGCCAATGAGTCAGGCCAAAACAAACCAAAAATCACACACAATTTCAGTTAAAAAAGGATAAACAAATAGTATATTCAAGATAATTTTAATATTAATGTTTTTGTGAATTAGAAATATCACTCTTAAATGATGAAAATTACTAGTGAAGTAACTATTTCCCGACTTCAGAATTACATTATTTACACATATAATACAGGCTTGATTGCATTGGAAACAACAGTATTAAAATAAATGTTAACAGATAAAAAGGGTTTCATCACTCCACATTGTGAAGGCTGGGAGTCCACTACCCCCATATCCAAAGTCATTTTCTATTAGCATTAAACTATTTTAAGTGCAAACAATTTTTTAGAATCTATGATTGCAGCATCTGTCTTTTTGAATTATGTATTGAAGTCAGAAGGTGACAACTGTCTTCATGAGTGCATCCCAGGCTGTCTAATGACTACCTAAGGTATAAAATAGATCAGTGCAAAACCAGAGCCAAGTGCTATTTATAACAGTTGAATGTAAGGTTTCTTGTCCAAGAAACATTTGACTTTACACTATGTATATATGTATATATATTATATATGGAATTTAGTTACATTGAATTTTAGAGTAAAAAGCAAGAAAACTCCATTTCTCATTTTTTACTGCAGCCCCAACAGACTGACTTAAAAATGGAAGCAACTCTTTGGGTTAGCAGCTCCACACAGCCCTGCAGACTGCCGCTGCCTGCCGCCTGCATGTGGCTCCAGCGCAGCTCATGGCTCCGTTGTCGTCTGTCACTCCCTCAGTCCACGCGTGTCCGGGGGAGCCTGGGAGCAGCATGCAGCTGCTACACTACAGTCCCACCTGGAGAACTGGCCTGGTTTGGGGATGACAACAAGCCCTGCGAACAAAGCAGTTTACATTAATCCAGCAAGACACAGGGCAGCACAGAGAGCCCCGCTGGTGCTCACCCTTTCCAGTGTTTTCACAGGCTCACATGCCTTTCCAAGGGCTGGAAGCCAGGGCCTGCTCTAACACACTCCCTGTTCCACCTAGCTAATTCCTCTCAGAGCACTGGACTGTGCCTGGAGTGAGGTTCTGTGCCCCCAACACTAGCTAGAAGGAAGATGGAGGTGTTTACTGAGGATCATCGGAGCCTTTAGGAGAGGGCGAGGCACAGACATTGCAGCAGCGGATGGGGTTGCCAGCTCCACCTCAAGCTTGTCAGGGTCAGACCAGGCCCTCAGCCAGGTGGGCCTCCAAGGACAGTCCAGTAGCACTTAAAAAGGCGTTTTCCTTCTGGGGTGTACTTGCTTTCTTTTGAGGGTGCTGAGGTACACCACTAGTTTAGCTGGCCTCTAGTGAATAGGCCCTACAGGTACACAAAAGTAGCTCAGGCCCTGGGTGGTGAGTTCTGCAGCTGCAATGGGTAAGGGCCCTCCCAGCGCCCTCCGAGCTACCTCAGAGCCAAGGGCACTCACAATCCTCAGCACTGATTACTGGGCTGTGGGCAGTTACGTCAGAGCTTGGCACTCATTTCTTAGGAATCTGAAGAGTACAGTAGTGCAGCATTAGAATTAAAAAATGGGTTCCATGGAAACAAACATCCTTGAGCTGTTCTGAAGAATTATTTACTTGTTGAGTATTTATAAATGACAACATTTAATGCTAAGTAAACACTGTCACATTTTCAAAGACTTTCAGTGCAGAAATGAGGGCTGACAGTCCTAAGTGGGTCGTCAGCTTCACCCCACACCTTGTTTGAGGGAGCTAGGAAACAGCTGGCCCACTGCAAGCCATCTGGTTTATAGTTTCTTACCTCAGAGCTGAAATCTATTGATTGGTCTAGACAAAACCAAGAGGCAAGAACGGATGGAATATAGCAACTGGCCCTGCTCTGCATCTGTAGGAGCTCTTACCCCTCAGACCCCTGTTCAGACAATAAGCAAAGAGCCAAACCTCTCATGCCCCTGTAAACCCACCAAGCCAGTGAGGGAAAGCAGAGGCAAACAGGCCCCAGATACAAGAGCCCTGGCCCACCCACCTGAGGTCAAGGACAGAGTACGTGCAGCAGCCACTTCAGTGTGGCCCACTGTGCCGTAACGGCACTGCAGACCGAGGGGCCTTCCCTGTCCCTGCAGGTACTGCCTCTGGCCATGCCAGCCAATGGAGGAGTGCTGCCAGCCATACGGGAGATGCCTAAGTTTTAAAACATTAATTAAAAATGATTTAAAAACTAGGTGAAATAAATTTTAATTGAATATATCCCAACTTACTACAGTATATAATCAAAGTAAAAACTGATTTTTTTAAAGGCAAGTGTATAAAAGCCTTTGAGGTACACTGCTTATGATAGGGCACATTTCAACTTGGACAGTCCCCATCTTTGGTATTCGGTGGCCAAATGACTCATGATTGCCATGGGAGTCAACAAGAGTCTGACAATGAATGTGCCCACCCTGGTGGCCTCTGTAGCCCTTTTCCTTGCAGTTCTGTGGATGAGGGGTTTCCAAACAAAGTTGTCTAGGTCACAGTGATACACTGCTTTCACTGGCTCTGTCTTGTTACGTCATCTGTCTGTGGGCTGCAGGACATAAACTCCTAGCCCAGAGTCATCACTTGCTCTAGGCCCTCATTGTCTGTGGTGTGGTGAGGAGCCCAGGTGAATCGGTCCTTACTCTCCACCATGTGCACTATCCTGGCCACTAAGCCAAGGGGAGCACACTTACATCTCCTCAACTAAAGGATCACTTCTACCTACCTTTCAATTCCTGTAATTCACTTGAATGTCAAAGAATTGGGCTCTGGTTAGTGGGAGTTCATTTCTGCAATGTCAACCTGGCCATGGGGTGGAGGCCAGGACCTGGGGCCCTCCACCACAGACAGGAAGGTGAACCAAGAACTAGATGGACCTGGCCTCCAGTCCCCTGGCCCCGTGGTCACAGGCTCCTGAATATACTGGCCTGCTGGGTCCCTGGGCTGGCAGGGACACAGCATGTCCAGGTGCTTCACATTCCTACAAGTATGTGTGAAGCTAGCACAGGCCACCAGAAACTGAAAAATGTGTGGAACAGGGAAGGGCCTCAGCACAGGGTCAGACTGGATCAGTACCCAAATCAAGACCACCCAGCTTTGTTACTAGTCCTTTGAATAGTGACCTCAACACTTGTTTACTTCTTAGAGATGTGTCTTTGCATAATGAACAGTGGAGGCATGGGATGTGGGGATCTCATTCAAGAGAAAAGGTGAGGCTAGGTATGGTGGTGCAGGCCTATAATCCTAGCACTTGGGAGGTAGAGGCAGGAGGATCAAGAGTTCAAGGTCACCTTCAGCCACATAGGAAATTTCAGGCCAGCCAGGGCTTCAAGAAACCTTGTATGAACCCTGCTCCCCTACAGAAAGAGAATGACAAATATACCTACCCCTTTTGGGGTGGAAGAGGTTGAGTTCCACTTAGCTACACCCCAGCCTGTCACTATTAGAATGTAGAGCGTGGGAGGTGGAAGGGGAAGTGGCCGCAGCCCACTAAGGGGTGTGAAGCAGTGTCAAAGCACAAGAGCCACTCTGACACTAAAGCATGGTGGTCCTGCAGCCCTCCTCTGGGCGGGCGGGCTGTTTCACGTCATCATCCTGACGTGAAAGCATTCCTCTGCTTGGGGACAGATGAGTTAAGATCAGAGAGAGCACACAGGAAGAACTTCTGTGTGCACCAGAGCAAGCACAGTACCTACATATAGGCTTCATAAAAATCAAGCAAAAGGTCTCTCCAGCAGAGAATCTCAACAACATCCCCCTAGTCCAGGGATAAAGACAACTCTTGAACCTAGGCTCTTCTGTTCTCACCAAAGTTGCCAACACTGCTGGGCATTCCATTTCAAAATTACACAACAAAATATTCCAGGTCTTGGTCTGGGTTAGATTATAATTCACAACAAATACAATGCTAATAGAATTAAGCTTTATTCCACCAGGATATACAATCAAATCAATACTGTGCTTTAGAAACCAGTACAAACAAAGGACAAGCCCCTTTTGCCTGTCCTGGTGGAGGCTGCTGAGATGGATTATAACTGGTCTGATGCTGTACTATGTAAGGGAAAGCAAAGACACGTCCAGGAATTCTGTTGGGCCCACACTGGCCTCCAGCTCTGGGTCATGGGAGGGCTGCCTTTTCCCTCCCTTTCCCTGACTCCAGCAACCTCTGCCCATAAACATCTGACAGTGTCTCAAGTAGACACTGTAGGATAAGGTATGGAAGTTGGGGCCGAATGCCAATTCACCTCTCCACCCACCTGGCTGTTCAGTCCCTCAGTTCCAAACAAAATAACACACAGAGCAGCCAGGCAGACTGAGCTGCCCCTGAAGAGCTGTAGGAAGGTGACCACAGAATGCGGGTGGCTGTTGCTCTCTACACCAGACACCACAGCAGTAACTTCTCTCAGGTGGAGGTCAGGGCCTAAGTAATTCATCGATGCCTCTTTAGATGGGGCACAAGCAATGAGTACCACACCAAGTGCCGATACCTGTGCATGCTCTTAGCCCTGGGTGTGTTCCCCTTATCTGAGCTTAAGAATCCCTTGTTTGCTGGGTGGTAGTGGCGCACGCCCTTTAATCCCAGCACTCAGGAGGCAGAGGCAGGCGGATCTCTATGAGTTCAAGGCCAGCCTGGTCTCCAAAGCGAGTTCCAGGAAAGGCACCAAAACTACAGAGAGAAACCTTGTCTCAAAAAACAAAAACAAAAACAAAAAAAAAAAAGAAGAATCCCTTCTTCTGTGACACATACTCTACATAAAAGATCAGAGAAAACCTGGAAAGAGCACAGTTCTGTGTAAGGTTCATGAAAGAGGCCAGAGTATCCAGACTCAGTGTGATGGGTTTAAGAGGCTCACAGGTCTGTGGCCATTTGCTTCAGACTTACTGGACCCTGGTTCTGCTGGGCTGTGGGCCTTGTCCACTGGCTAGCCTTGCCCTCCCCACTGACAGGCCACACTGAAGGTGGCACAAAGGCGCCATACAACCGGTCTCTGATGAGAAAAGGGAAAATCCAGGACAGAGAGAAAAGGAAAAGTGTAAGCAGCCAACAGCGTCTCGGAGGTTGTGGTTAAAGAAACCACTTGTCTGCTAAGGCCCTCATTCCGTGACCCACTGGGCCCTGAAATCTGCCACAGAGGAAGAGAGGGTCTAAATCCTCCCTGGTTCATCCACTCCAGGAGCTGCCCAGAGCCCACCCAAGAGCATAAGCTGGTGTCAGAGGCACAGCCCCAAGACAGAGGAGCTGCTCCAGAGCCACTAACACAACATGGCACACACAACCTCAGGTAGCCCCAAACCAAGGGAAAACGAAACAACTCTTTTTCTCCAAGTACACAGTAGTTAGGGTTTTTCATATGGTATGGTTTTCTTTAAACAAAATGGAAAATGCTGTTGGCCTCTTTTAAGGCTTTGAAGCTATTTAGAGCTGCTTGTGTGTGTGTGTGGGGGGGGTCACTCTGCGCTACAGGTTGAACATCTCTCCTGCTTGGCAGCACACAGCCAACCTGACCTGCATCCAGAGTCAGGCAGTAAGGAACAGCCTGGAACTGTCTGAGGCAGAGAGAAAGAGAGCACAGGACCACCAGCCTGGAAGACAGGCCGCTAAGCAAGAGCCCGGGGTCTCATGAAACAAGAGCTTACAGGTGAGTGGGAGCACCATGGACCAGCTCACTCTTACCTTGTCACCCTAGCAAGTCAATGGGTTTACACTCTCCATCTGTAATTCTTGCATGGAAGCATTTGGAGATGGAGGTGAGCAGTGAAGTCGAGTCGCTGAGGGGCAATGTGGCAGTGCAGGACAGTATGCACGGCTGATCCGCCTTTTCCCAGCCGAGTGTCACCTGCTGCCTGGTCCTGTAGCTCTAGGTGATGACAACACAGAAGCCTGGGGGTGGGGTGGGGTGGTGGTGAGGTGGAAAGCAGGGGTGAGGTGGGAAGTGTGCTGAGAGGGAAGAGCTCCTACAGAGGCCCAACGTGCCCTTGGCTCACTAGGCTGCCTTGGTGGCTGCAGAGCCAGCTGGTAGCCAGCTACCTTCAGAGAGTTAACATTCACATTACATTGAAACCTTTTCCCACTCAGAGAATCCCAGTGCCTCATTCAGACAAGCTCACACAGAGCAGCATCTGTGATGTTCAGAGTCAGTGTTTCATCTAGTAAGCTGACTGCGACACACAGCAGTAGGAAGAGATGGCTTCCATTGTTATTTGTTATAAACATTAACAAGGCTCTTAATTTTACAGCATTTAACAGCTTTTCTTTTTTGGCTCACTGAGATTCTTTTTTGTAAAGCTTAGATGTGAAAATGACTATTGAAATTGTCTACATTTACAACGCATTCACACGTTTATTCAATGTCAATATACAGAGGACAGCCTCCAGTACTTCAGAATGTCAAGGATGTGGTAAGTCTCTTGCTGTGACGGTGGCAAGGGAACAGAAACATGGTTCTTAGACTGAAGAAGTAACAATACTGATATTCAAGCTTCGTTAGTTATTGCAACAGTAGGAGCTCAGCTCCCTGTATTTCACAGCAGGAGGGCTCCTCATGAAATTTATTCAAGTTGTGAAGAGATCAGATGAAAATGTAAGAAAGGAAATACACATTTACCTTGACTCTCACCGAAGATAAATACCCATACACCTTTTCACATGTCACCTGATAACAACTTTAAAACCCAAGTACACACAAGTTACAAGGCAGGATTTTCACACTTTGAACTCAGGAATTGAGTCAGGAATTGAACCATGACACAAAGATAATGTAACAATTGCAGCACGGATGAAAAACTCGGCATCCACAGGACAGTTGCTCCATCAGAAGAGCGTGTTCTTACAGTTGAGCTTGGGAATACAAGTGCTTTTCCCCAGCGAGCCACAGGCTTCACTAATGCCACACTGATGTCCCCTCTCCCTGGGACACCACAGAGCACTTTGATGAGCACCGTGTTAACCTAAGCCAGCTTGTGGTGGTCCAGCCAGCCCAAGGCAAACAGCACACTCTGGACAGAAACAGGCCTGCTGGGTGTGGTGGCTCCTCCAGACATTCCCGATCGTGGGTAGTTCAGCCTTAGAGACCAAACTCCAACCAGAGGCCTTCAAGTCAATATCAGGCCTACCCAGAGAAGTGCATGGAGGCTCTATGGGTGAGGGAAGAGACCTCGCCAGTGGACACACGTGCCTCAGTGGTACAGCTGGCCCTGAGCCAAGAGGCATAAGGGACCATGGACCCCTTCGGCCATGACTGCCCACAGCATAGCCTGCATTCCAAGATCAGTCACTGGAAAAGCTACCACTAAACTGTCCCTAGTTTTTCCTCAAGTGGTCAGACGGACTGGAGTGGCACTGGGGTTTCCACAGGACCCTTTTCTGGCCCTACATGTCCTGTGTCTTGTTCCTCCTCACACTTTGAGCTTGCTCAACAAATAAAGAAAACATCTCCCTCCAGTGAGAGGTGAGAGGACCTTGCACACATGAACACACATGTGCTAAGGCAGGCTCACTAATTTTAGCACAAATTCAGTATGTGAAAATTTATTAAAACTTCAGAATGTATCACAGGATGAGGAGGGATGGGAGAAATGGCTGTCGGACAATCACGCCTTGGGTGTTTTAAGACAAATACTAGAGGGGACACTGGCCACCTGGGGGTAGGATGTGTGTACACAGCCACAGAAACTGAAGTTTTATAGCCCTTGTCACACCTCATTTCAGAGTGTCTTTCAGACACTGTGGCTTCTTTCTTGCTCCACCTCTGGGCTTTCCTAAAAGCACTCACTCTTCAGCCTGACCTAAGTGGCTCTCAAAACACTTGTAAACTCAGTCAGCATGACCAACAAACTGAAAGCTCTTTACCCTATGTAGGTCAATTTGGAGTCCACAGTTACTGGCTGCAGGCATCACCCAATCTCTCTGGGACATTTGCTCTGAAAAGAAGGCACAACTTCTAAGCCTCTCAGGAGGGCGGGGTGTGGTTCAGAAGTGCAGCGCCTGCCTGGCAGCTGTTGAGTCCTCTGGCTCGATCCCTGGGACCCCATGCACACAGAGAGAAAAGTGGGAACGGACTGGGGGCTGATTCACCAGTTACAGTGCAGCTGGCTTCTGGAGTCACCAGAAAGGTTGCCTGTGGCGGGCGAGCAGGACAGAGAGGAGACTCGACCTGTACAGTGGTGCCCTCACTGGGCCCCAGCAGAACTCTGGGCAACACCACGTGGACCTGACTTCTGTCTGTAAGGGCCTCTTGCCAAAAGCTGTTTTATTCCGGGGCTAGTTATCAAAGACATTCTTGCTTATGAAAATGCTCAACCAAGAAACAGGGAAGTCTTGATGAGGAAGCTCAAAGTTTGGTGAGAAAACTAAAAACGTGCTCCCCAAATTTCTCTGGGTGGCTACTGTGGAAACAGGGTGGCCCTATGTCTCATTCTTTGGAGATCAGAAACCACCATGACACAACCCCATGACACCCCACCACCTCTGTCTGCAGGGCACAGGAGGAAGGAGCCCCCGCCCTCCAGCGCCCTCTTCTGGAGCTGCCGCACCTTTAGTTCTGGTCTTGGAGAACACCTTGCACTCTGTCCTCCTGCCTGCAGAACTGCTCTGCCGGCTGTCAAAGAAAGGGGGCAGGAGTCAGTCAGGGGGGCAGAGTGGGCTTAGGGCAGCATTGCCCTGCATGCAGGGGCCAGCCTGCGCCAGATCATGCAGCTAAGACAGCCCCTCTAGAGCTGACCCTGGGCTCTTACCAGTCCCTGAAGCCGGCAGGGGAGCCCAGGAGAGTAAGACACAGCAAGGGGCCCTGAACAGGGTTTCCAGAATAGACATTAACGGTACTACACTTAAGCAGCAGAAATTGGAAGAGACTGTGACCAAACCCCAAATCACAAACTGACATTATCGTGGGGATGCAGAAAAGAATTCACAGGCCTCTATCGGACAATATAGGAGGCCTGTTTTTTTGCTTTCTTTAAAGGAAACAGTAGTATCCACCTCTTGTTCTGCTCTCCCAATTCCCAACAGCAAGTGACTCTTAAGTCGCCTGTCAGCGCCCCAGCAGATGGGGCTGGGGATGCTACTGGTCCTGGAGATCCTTAAGTGCCCATTATCTGTGCTGAGCCCACAAGGATGGCTCCCCTGCCAGCAAAGACAGCTTCAGAACTGAGAGATCACCATAAGCTTTACCATAAACACTACTTACCTATGACTGGCCACTCTACTTAGGCCAAACACAAAGTCCTGAATTTGGAAACTGCATACTCAATGCCTCAGAAGCATTTGAAAGTGAATTTAGGAAACTATGCATGGAGTGTTCATTTCTAACCTGCCCACCTGGCAGCCCAATTTGACCTCTGAAGTCCAGACAGTCTACATGGTGGCAGTCTTTGCTACCTCAGATCAGTTAACCCTAAGAACTAAGGGGTATATTTCCAAGGCAGATGGGACATGAGCATCCTTGTGAAGAGCTGCTCAGGGACGTGAAATGCCTTGGCACACAGGTGAGATACCCTGGAGGGTGCAGTGATCTTATGGGCTGTCACATTAACAGAAGCCACCTTCAAGGAGGAAGAGGATAGGGATGGGGGCACAGTTCCAGCCATGAACAAGCTGGAGCGTGGGAAGGGGCCTGGGACCTGGCCTGGCTTTCTGGGGAGTGAAGCCAGGTAGCTGGCTGCTGTCTACCAGAGTTTTGACACTGCGGAGACATAAAAGCCACCAAATCTTTGCTATTGAGCCATAGTCACTACTCAAGCCAATACAAATGACCCTTCCTGCTATAGTTCATTACAAAGGTGTACCAGACAGAAAAATAATCCTAAATGTTCTAAATAAATTAACAAATAACTTATCATTTTGACACAAAATACCCAGCTCAAAGAACTACCCTCCACTGTGAAAACCAGAGCGTGAATGAAATTCCCTGAGCAACTGAGCAGGACCTAAGTAGTTGGAAGCGAACTTCAATCCCCACCACTGTCCTGCCACAGGGGCAGTCCACACAGCACTGCTCTTGAGGGGACACAGGCCACCAGGGCCCCAAGGGAGGCACTCAGGGCAGGATCTGAGTCCTGCACCAGCATCTGTCTCCAGAGCCCTCCTGGACTCACAGCTGCCATCCAAGAACATAATGGAGTGGGTGTGCCTTGTGCTTTCCCTATGGGGGAGCGGAGCCCCGGCCGCAATGCCATGTCAGAAGGTGCCCTGCAGCCCGGAGCACCTAACAGTTCACATACAGCTGAACTGAGGAGCCTGCCCTTGACCTCCAGACCCACCTTCCTGACCACAAAACAAAGCCCCCCACCAACAGACAGACAGAACCTTCTTTTCCCTGTTGGGGAAAAGAAAACCACAAGCTATGCACATCTGACATGTAAGTCTTAGCTGATGTGGCAAGAGGCCCTTCTGAAAGCTGCAGCTAGTGTCCTTGGCCACAGCACATCTGAACTGTCCAGGCTCTGGAACATGTGGAGAGTTTAGTGCACAATTGCAATCAGAGTTCTACAAACTGCTTCTTTGAAAAACGATGTTTATTAAACAATTTTAATTGTCATAAAATGACTAAAATGGGTTTTAAAAATTAAGGCTCTTCTCTTTCTGTGGATTGCCAGACAATGTAAAAATAATATCAATCAACCCTGATGAACGCTTTGTTCCTAAGTTAAATTTCATAGATTCCTAAACATTTTATGATTTAAGATTAAAAAGTTGGGCTATAAATGATAATTAATGGCCATCTGTACTGAACATACACTTACCAGGTGTATAACAATCTAGTTGAGTAGTTGCGCAAAAATATCCCAGTTAAAGCATAAATTTTGACTTTAGCATTTTAATGTCATTATTTCTCCACACTGTCATGATTTCCCTATAACTGGAATAGTCTGATACAGGAATGCTAACTTTGGGACTCTATATACCCAGAGGGATGACTGAGTTGGCTGGCAATTAGTCTGATTATATATTTTTTAAATGCTCTAAGGTGGATTATCAAATGATTCAGAATTACATGGCATGCAGTATCCAAAATTATGGCTCTGATGCATTTAGATTTACATTAAGAAGTGTCATTCACATTCATTGTACATCCCACCCTCCCACAAGAAAAAAATCACTACCTAGTCAAGTTCTAGATCTGGTGCAGCATTAAGGATTAAAACTTACCACTTTACCAGGCCTTGCCCATGTGCAAATAAATCCCTCCTGACAAGCAGTGACTATACAGTCTTCAAGAAATACCAATACAGTCAGTCTTTCATGAGCTATCTTTTTACAGATCAGCGGCTCTAACAAGGGAACATCTTCCATCCGAGGACACAGCGATGTTCCCAGAGTTTTAGCTGGGTCCGTTTTGGCTTTCGTAACTAGATTCAGTTTGTCACTACTCTTGCTGGAAATGTGTCCCATACTATGGTTTCGTTTGTGGTCTTTCTCATGGTGTCTCTCCTTCCGGTCGTGCAGAGACAGAGTTGCAAACTTGCTGACCCCAGAGGCAATGGCCCCGTCCATGACGCTGCTTTTGCTACCAGCACTGGAGACTGCTGAATGTGGAAGGCTATTGGACCGTGGCAATGGAGGGGGCACAGAGTTCCCAGGCGTAGTGACGCTGTTCCCATTGCTTCCGGCAGGCGGACTTGTGGCATTCATGACATTTGTATGTGTCCTTGCTCTTGAGAGGGGTTGGTGAGGGAAAAGGATGTCTTCTGTAAGGTCCCATAAACACAGCTGTGTATCCTGACCCACTGAACCAAACCGATAGGTAACACTTACAGGACGGCTGTCTGTAGAGTTCCGTTTGGACAGCCTAGACTGTGTACTGTTCGCTCGATCTCTGCCAAAATGAAGAAGGTCCTGGAAGTCCTCGTCACTGCCACTAAACTCCATAGGGTCACTTTCTTCTACACTAGTAGTATAGGGATCAAATGCTACAACACTGACCCAGGATTTGTGCCCATGGCCTCTAGCTATTACTCGGCAGTCTAGAAAGGACCAGACTGTCACCAAGTCGTCCTCTCCACCTGTCACAATGTACTTGCCATCTGGGCTCCAGCACACACAAAGCAAGCCCCCAAAGTAGCTTTTCATTGTACCGTGCAGCTCCACTGAGTCAAAGTTGAACACACGCAGAAACCCGTCCTGGCTCACACACGCTAAGAACTTGCCATCTGGGGAGAAAGCAAACTCGTTGAGGGCCCCCTCGCCCACCGTCCACTTAAGGAGAGGGTTCCTCGTGGATTTGCTCTTGCAAGTGTGCACGGCAAAGCTCTCTCCCTGCTTCAGAAGCTGGTAGTGGGGGGCTGTGGTGCCACAAGTGTGCTCCACATTATATAAGTACATGTTCCCACTTGAATGGGCTACTAGGAAAAGGCTTTCCGAACCAGGAACCCATTTGACACAGGTTACGCGTGACTTGTCTATTAGTCTCTGTGAAGACAAAGGAGAACAAGTTATCACAATGGAGAAGTTAAGGTCTACTTTTCCAGAAAAAAAAAAAAAAAAAATCTGTCTGCTTCTTGGCAAGAAGGGAAGAGTCCATCCAGGCACTCACATTTATCCTGTGTCAGCCAGGCCAGCGAAGAGCTTGTGGCCCTGTAGCCTAATTTCTAAATGGTCTTATTAAATAAAAAACACAGAGTCAGAAATTTGGGTTAAAGCCTTAGAGAGATCAGAGAGATCAGAGAAAGCCACCAGCTAACCTCACCTCACCAACTCTGCAGCTTTCAAGGAGCGGGACTTCCTGTCTACCTTATATGTCTTGCTTTTCTGCCCTTTCATTGACTCTCAGCCCAGCTACCTCACTTCCTCTTCCTACACAGCTCTGTCACTGTCTGTCTGTCTGTCTGTACAGACCTCCAGACTTCTATGGTTGGTACTGGGATTAAAGGCGCATGTTACCATGCTTGGCTCTGTTCCCTAGTGTGGTCTGGAAGACACAGAGATCCTGCCTGACTTCTTTGTTTACTTAAAGTGGCTGGCCTTTTCCCCCTGATCTCTAGGCAAGCTTGATCTATTAACACACAAATAAAATATCACCACATGGCCGCATTCTAGAATTGCAACTGGGTGTCAGGACACTGTCTTCCTGAGGGTGTCAGTCATTTGATCTGCTGAGAGCCTATCCTGTGCCCAGGTCCCAGGTCCTGGGCACACTGGTGTGAGACAGCCCTTGGCCCCTTACAGTAGAAGCAACTGAATGTTTTACTACAGCTGCGCGGCTTCCTCTCTATGAGGACTCACAGGACAAGTTTCAGTCCTCATAGCTTTCTTTGCCTTTGTCACTGGAGGCCATGGGATGACTACATTACCCCTTTTTGTGGCTGCTCCAGGGCAGGGAGCCACCTGCAGCCTGCGACCAGCAGAACACAGGACTTGAAAACACACTTCCTGGGCAGGATACAGCCCCGGACTCACTGTGTCTTCACTCACTCCATAGGGCTGGCCTGTGAGTATCTTACCCCACATCTCCCAGATTCTCTCGGAAGGTGGAGGTGAACTCGGAAGTCTGTGCTCCATCACTATCAATCTAGTCCATGCTTATCTCTGGTCCACTGACCTAGCTGCCTCTTTAACTGCATGTATACAGTCTCATCTTTAAAACCAACTGACCAAAAGACCAACGTGAACGCCACTCAGATGTACAGAAGGGGTACCCCATGCATCTGTGCAGACCCTGCTATAGGGCTCATCAGGGCACACCCTCCATAGGCTATAGAACTCACCAGAAGTTCCCAATCCTGCAATGGAACTCCTTCTGCCAGGTATTCTCCATTACTCCTTTACTCTTTACTGGGACACTCCCAAGGGCCCAAGTGCTATCGTTTTACCTAACTGGTTGGGGTTCTCCACCATGAATCCCGGAGAGCCATCAGGGCACACTGGTACGGACTTGAGCTACGGCCATCTACCCAAGTGGCCTGGTGACTGCATCAGCCATGCACACTGATTCTTTACAGAGGATGACAGAAATGAAAGGATGTGACTTTTAAAGAAAGAATGGAAGCTGGGTGCAGCAGGCATGAGGATCTGGTTTCGTATACAGTACTAGCGACAACAACAACAACAGTAATAATAATAAAGAAAAGGACAGAAAAGAAGTGAGTCGTGCAAGCTCACTGCATAAAAATAAGAGCTCGGAAGGAATGGACTGCTAACAGATACTCTGACAGGGAAACATGGGAGGGAGCCCAAGTGCCCACAGTATGGAGGCCTGGAGTTTTAAGTTCTTGGGTTTGAGCCAAGAGCACGAGCTATCCCTGCTTACTGGCACCTAACAGCATGACTGGCATCTTAGACCAGCAAGTACGGCACATGGGAACACCGTCACGGTTTGTGTTGCCTGACTCTCATTTCCTGCTTGGCGACCAACTGTCTACACAGCTGGCAGTGCTCTTTATGACTTCCATTAGACCATTCACGCTTTCATAAATTACGAAGTTCCTTAGCAAGGGGTCAGGTGATTTTCGTAGCGAGATCATAGCCTTTGGGGGAAGAGGGTGTCAGGAGGGTGCAGAATTAAGTGACCGCCAGCCTCTACAGGAGCTTGAAGGCTTGCTGCCAACTGCCCACTAGGTCAGGCTGCTCCAGCACTCACTCCCTTTGAGCCCAGGGACATGACTATGCCAGGTGGGCTTGCACAGGTAACTTGTGTTTAGAGCCAGACTGCTGTCCTGATCCTGGCCCAGTTTTCCCCGGCACCATTACTCTATTACATGTGGAAATTTAAAGCTTCTAGTAGCATGGTTAGTATGGTAAATCTTTACCTACAACCTTAAAAAAAGTACAACAGAAAAACCACATTGGCACTCAAAAACCGTAATCCTGGCAAGAAAGAAAGTGCTGTTGTTATGTGACGGGGAGGTACAAAGAGCAGTGACCAGATGCACTGCAGAGCAATGTCACTCACTAAAATATGCACTCTAACCACCCTACGCCAATTTGTGGATGCAGCTGACCGAGAAAACCTGCACCACCATGTATTGTAACTGCCCGCAGTATGCAGACCTTACCACTGGCCCTAGGGACTGGGCACACCAGTGTAAGCAATGACAGACCAAAACCAAAAGAGAACCCATCTCAGTTGGGGGCATGGCACAGCAAGAGGGCAGCCTCACTTCCAACCTGAGGATCTATTCTGGGTGCGAAATTGGCAAGAGGCTTTACACCCACTCCCTAATGCTCCCAACACTTTCACAGTCAAAGCACTCTTCATTCATGTGCATGACTACAGCAGAAAGCAAGCCTCACTTGGACTCCTTTCCTGCACTCAGGATCTGCTGCCCCGGTCACTGGGATTAGCTCATCTACCCAGAATTCCTGCTTACACAACTGCCAAAACAGCACAAACAGATCAACTCACCTCTGTTTCCTTCACTGATGCAACCTGTGTATCCTCATTCTTCTCTGTCATTACAAAGCACTCAATCACACTGACAGACTGCTGCAAGCCCCTACTGTCCAGTATTGATGTAGTGATGAATGAATGACCTTGAGCCCAGGACAGTTTTCACAAGTATGAGCAGTACACATACAGATCAGAGAGATGGATATAAGCTTTGTAAGCTTTCTAGAGGTGCAGCCAAATTGCCTCCCACAGAGACTAATATTTCATGCTCCCACCAGAGCCTATTTTCCCCATCAGAAGGTATGGCCCATGAAGAGACAGAAGTTCCAGAGGTCATCAAACTTGTCTGAAGTCACATCCGTTCATTTACTCAATCAACACTGAATGCATCCCATATGTCAGACATTTTATACAGCATCAATTAAAACTACCATCCCTTTCTACATGGTACATGTAGTGTGATGAAGTAAATGCTGTGTAGAAAAAAAATTACCAAGAAGGGAAAACAAAGTGCTGGGAATGGGATGTCGTGGCAATTTCCATTTCCAAGAGGACATCGAAGAAAAACATTTCAATCTGCAGGGGTCAGCTGGGCACCGAGTGAGGTCGGGCAGACACCAAGCGTGCTGGGGAGATCCGGAGAGTGAAGGGAACAAATGCAGGAAAACTCCGGAGCCTGTGACAGGAGCAGTGTGCTAACGAAAGTGGCTGCAGAATGGGTAGCTGTCTTCTACCCCATGGCCTGAGTACCAGCCTGCCATGCCCACTAGCAAAGCTTCTCTGCAACAGAGTGCCAGCCTAGCTCAGACCCCACAGCAAGTGAGAATTACAACTCCTTGACCAGAGGTCACCTGACTTCAACTCTTCTAGGCTGTTACTAGTTTGAGTGTAACAGAAAAAGAATGAAAGTGTCCTATGCCTATCTTCCAAATAAAGAAACAGAAATACCTGGGACATTTTAATAAATACAAGAATAAAAATTATATTTAATAAATATAAGAATAAAAATTTACACAGACAGAAGGTGGGCATTGTGGCTAGGCTACATAGGGAACACCATGCCAGCTAGGAGTATATGTCTCAAAAAAAATTATTTTTTTACACAGACCAGCCTCTACACCAAGAAAGTTACATTTTTATTTTTAGAAAACATTTGATAAAAAATAAACAAACAAACAAAACCAAAATGATAAATTCATGTTAGAAGTCAGTGTAGGGGCCAGGATCTCTTTGTTGGTTTTGAGTTCTCACTGGAGCAGACCCTCATCTAGATGAGCATTTTGAAAAGATACCCAGCAAAACCTTATTTCTCTAAGTCGTACTGCATGGGAGTGGGGGTGAGGCTGGAGCAAAAAGGGCCAAGGCTCTCACAGAGCAGGCAGGACTGGGAAAGGCTGAGCACCTGGAATAGAACTGTGAACTGGGACACAGGGCTGTGAGGTCCTAGGAGAGGGCCACCCATTTCACCCTTTGAAACTTTGAGTGCATTTCCCTTAACAGTGCCACTGCAGACAGCGGGGCGTCGAGGCTCCAGAACAAGAAGTGACAGAACAAGGCCAGGAGGCCACAGGTCTTCAACCTAGCCAGTGGTAATGTGCTGCGTCTGGTAACAGTGAGTGTGGTGGTAGTAGTGTGGATGGGGTGATGAGAGGGTAAAACGTACATAAACACCCCTAAATTCAGCCAGGGAGACAGCTGGAAAGGTCAATCTGTAGCTAGTGAAAATGAGCAGAAAATCAAGTCAGGCAGATGGAGAGCAACACAAACCTGTGACATCCTGGGCTCCAACGAAGATGGTGTAGCAAGGTGGGGTGTAGAACTCTGGAAAAATCTACCCGGAGGGAGCACAGCAAGGCCATCTTATCATTTCCCTGTGGTGACCACAGAGCTCTCCATGACAGAGCCAGCTTCCAGAAGACTCAGAGTCTGTTCCTAAAACCACCTGTGTGAACTAACACCCCACTCATGGCCAAAGCACAACACAACACGGACACTTGGGGTCCAGGTCAAGGCTGGGGTGCAGAGCTGCAGACTCCAAGTCTGCATGGCTCCTTCAACACTCGGTCAGAGTGCACCCCTCTTC